GCGGGACACAACAGAAGATATTTTGAAGAATGTCTCAGCCATAAATATGGTGATGCATCAATAACATCAAACCTCATTGGTTCTTGCATCTCCAAGTCACATGACTAAACATCATGATGTCATCAAACAAATTTGATGTTTTTGATTTCACCATATTTAATTTAGGCTCCGTATACATTAGTTGATCAATGATTTGATTTGATTTGTGAATAAAAATTTGGCTCCTAGAACAACTTAGGACTTTGACATATGGTTAAAGATTACTATTTCCTTTAAAGTTTACTGACAAACATTTATGGTAAACGTATTTAAATATATTTGTATTTGCACAGTTGTAATGATGAAGTTGCACTTCAGTAAATTTAAAATGTCAACTTTAAATATGATATTGAACAACACACTACAGTTAAGATTATTATCAATAACTTTACATGAGCTTTAGTATGTCAGCCCACACATCAAAATAAGTGCATTTCTTTAAAGCATGACAAAAGCTCATTAAACTGAAATATTAAATATGATTAAAATGTCATTTAAAGTTAAAAATAATAATATAATAGTATAATTTGACATTAATTTGACAAGTTTGTTAAGAATTAATTTGACAAGTTTGTTAAGAAACAATCATGAAAGTGTGCTCTCTTTAAGTGCACTTAGCCTTTTATTTCATGAATATTATATTATCTGCAAGTACAGGTTTAAAAATATAGTTTAAGATCTGAAGTACACTACAGGTGCGCATTCAATACAATTAAACGCAATACTTTTTAAAACCACTGGAGTTGTTTAAATTACTTTTAACTTTGTCTCCTTTTAGAGCTTGAAACTTTTGTACTTTCAAGGTTTAGGCTAAAATAGATGAGACCTTCTTCAAAATATCTTCTTCAAACCGGTTAGGAACGGCATGACGGTGAGTAAATAAAGACAGCACTTTCATTTCTGTGTGATCAATCCCTCTCAGCTCATACCTGTTTCTCTGTCCTCTGCGCTGCAGTTGATACAGTGTTGTGGTTTTTATGTTCATACTCCTTACATAACACACAAATGCATTCTTGATCAGTGATACAGAACATTTCTAGCTCTTTATCATGTTTGCGGCAGATCATGTCCTGCAGTCGTCCAGTGGCATCAATCACTTTGTGTGGTTTACGAGAGTGAAATTCCTCATGACGGTCAAAATGAGTTTGACAGTAAGACTCCTGACACACCAGACAGGACTTGACGGCTTTGTGTTTTCTTCCAGTACAGACGTCACACTCCACGTCTCCAGCTCCAGCGTAACAGTCAGCAGGAAGTTTAGTCTTCTTCAGTTTCTCCACCACTTCAGCTAGCATGGTGTTTTTAGCTAAAGCAGGTCTTGGACTGAAGGTCTGTCTGCACTGAGGGCAGCTGTAGACTCTCTTCTCATCCTCCTGATCCCAGCAGCCAGAAATACAGATCTTACAGTAACTGTGTCCGCAGGGAATGGCCACTGGATCCTTCAGGAGATCCAGACACACTGGACACACAAACTCATTCTGATCCACTGAAATTCTGGCTTCTGCCATTTTACTGCATGAATACAGAGAGACACAAACACACAACAGCTCAACAACACTTCAGTTTCTGTTTCCCTGAACTGAGGAGTTGAAGTAGTTTCCTGCTTCTGTGTGTGAGTGACGTGTGTAAAACAGGCGTGTCTGTAAAGCAGCTTTAATTCCTCATTCCTGCTCAAAGGAGAGTCACTTTACTGCCGTGTTTATGTGCTCTGCAAGTGGAGCCATACATTTTTTTTAATTACGAGTTCCGAACACATGAATGACAGAGCAAAGTCATATTTATGAATGAGAAACTAAATTCTAGATGATACACGAGTTGGTAGGGGTGAAAATACTGATCTATGTGTTGTGTTTTCTATATTTGTATAGAGATCAGTGAGCGCTCTGTAGAGAATGATGTTAATCACTCAACTTCCATGATTTGTTTCCATTTATAAATATGTTGTGATACCATTTATAAATAAGTAATATAATCTCTAAAGTTATGCAGGTTAGGTGGATTGGATGTGCCAAATTATCGTTTGAGTGCTGGGTTGTGTCAGGAAGGGCATCCAGAATAAGACTTGTGTGTGAAGTTGACCCTGCAAATGAGCAGGAATGACGCTAGGAATACAGTAGATATAGTCATTTGGGTTACAATGTATATCTTTTTTCTACTTCCATATTATGTTTCCTCAAGTATTTTGATTTAGTGAATAAAAGACTATATATTTTTGGAACTCCGGCTGGTCTTCATGCATGCCACCACATCCGACAAAAGGAAGAATCAAGATGATTGTTCTCTCGAGGACCACACAAGGGATTTTTTGGACCTGATATGCCTGACTGCTCCCTCTGTGTGTTCTTCAATACCAACCTCAATGAGCAGTCCAAGGCATACCTGCCCAGTGTATCCCCTTGAGGGACCTTCGCTGAATATGTTGAGTGTGTCAGCCCACGGAACCAGAGCCCACATTCGCCACAGACCCCTTGCTAGAGCGCACTCCCGCCATGTCTGTCCTAAGGTCAGACCCTACCGCCAGGTTCTTCCCAGAATCAGGGCCTGCAGCAAAATCCATCCCTGAGCCAGGGTCGAATCACTGGCTCATTGATTTGTGGCCACAAAGCCAGTTCCCATCCATGTCCCCACCCCTGAACTTTCTCCTCCTCTGCTGGTTCCATCCAGAGTCCTTCCTCCCCTGATGATCCCACCCTGCATCCTATCTCCTTCATGTCAGCCGGTACCATCCTGCTCCCTGATCTCGTCCCCTCTGCTGGTGCCGGCTAGTTCCCTGGTTCTGCCGCCTCCACTGGTGCTGTTCAGCTCCTCGGCTTCAGCTTCTCTGCTGGTTCCATCTAGCTCTCCAACTCAGCCTTGGGCATCCCGATTCCCAGCTTGACCCTGTGTTGCAGATTCCCCGGCTGCACCTCAGGCCTCCATTCCAGTTCAACCCAAAGGTGTTTGATGGGGTTGAGGTCAGGGCTCTGTGAGGACCAGTCAAGTTCTTCCACACCAAACTCATCCAACCATGTCTTTATGGAGCTTGATTTGTGTACTATAGGGCACAGTCATGCTGGAATAGTTTTTGACACACTAGTGCTTTGAAACAGTGTTCCAGATCCAGAGCATTGCTTGAAATGGGGGTGTCATGTGACCTGTGGAAATAAAGCTTCGTTACCTCACTGACACGTCACACCGGGCTCAAATACAAAGCGCATCGATTGTGCTGTTCTATTGCACTATCCATTTAGTAGCAATATTATAATTATATCGGTCATGCCTATGTGTATTTTTTTAGCGTTGTGTATTGTTGTTAAAGTACTACTATTAAAAACAGTGACGTGTGAATGTCTATTGTCTGAATGTAAATTAAAACACCTTGTGGGCTCAACCACTGTTCTGCACACGTGCCACCATTTTTCTAATGACAAATGTGCTTATTAATTTAAATATACAAATAAACCTTACAAGGACAAATGAACAAAACATCTGAATACAGTTGTAGGAATGTTTAATGACCACCAGATGGTGAAGTAGAGCACCGTGTCAAAACCTTCGAAGCAACTATGCAGTTTGTTGTTAAAACCAAAACCTCACTGCCTCTTTCAGCACATCCCAACTAATACTACCACTTACAGTTGACCGTGGAATATTTAACGGATGAAATTTCACAAACTGACTTATTGCAAAGGTGGCATCGTATCACAGTACGCTTGAATTCACTGAGCTCTTCAGAACGACCGTTTCACAAATGTTTGAAAATGCAGGTGCTTGATTTTATACACCTGTGACAATGGTTCAGATTAAAACACCTTCATTCAATAAGAGGTGCGTCCCAAACCTTTTGTCCATATTGTGTATAGCCCTGAGTTCCCATTTGAGTTTGTCTGTTCTCATTTACATTTAGTGTGGTTTGCTTCTTGCGATATACTGAGTATTCTGTTCATTTGATAAAAGACTGTTTAGTGTAAATTCATTCGTCTTTGTCTGTGCCTGCAACCACCCCTCAGTGACATGAACTCCTCTGTAGCCCTCTCAATGTAACGTAAACACCGATATTGTACACTTAACTAGCAAGACATTCATCTTTAATATTAGTTCCTAGATGTAGAGAATGTTTCACTTGTCATATATTTGTAGGTTGTTCAGATTTCTCTGCTTCAGCACACTAATATTTAATTGATATACAGCTCACTCTCACCATTATCAAAATTGTGTTAAATGCTTGAAACATTAACACATGATTAACTGGACAGTCCACAATAAAATTAAAATTGTCCTCGTTTATTAACTCTCGTCTGGTTCCCAACCTGGATTTTATTCTGTTGAACACAAGAGAACGTTAAGGGGTCATTCACACAGAACGCGTTTTGCCCTGATAAATGTGAGACGCGAGCAGTGGAATTAAAAAAAAAGATCTTGGTAAACATAAAAAACGCTTATTTTAACTTTAGTGTCATGTTTTTAGAACAGGGCCTCATGCCTGAAACATGGCAAAATACGTGAGGTGGTCGAACACGTTTGTCAAGCACATTTACTTAGAAAAAACATGGAAAAAGAGAAATACCTTTAAAGATAACTGGGATTTTCAATGTGCAGTGATCACCAATTGTAAAAAAAAAAAAAAAAAAAAAAACAACTATTGTATTTTATATTATATTGATTACAATACACAGTACAGTATAACATGTTTATTTAACCACAAGAAACAGCCATCACATCCCTTTGCCAGGGCAGCTCAGTTTCCTGAGAGACAGACCAGCCCAGGACTGAACGTGTGTGTAGCTAAACGACAAATGGACGATCGAGTCAGTGACGGGGTGGTGTGTTTGCAGGCTCAGAGCCTGTCAGAGTTCAGTCAGAGTTCCCCATCCAGTCTCTTGTGGACCAAGTGGTCATTTTAAAGGCATTATTTGTTTTCTTCAAATTCCTTTCATTTTTGTTATATATATAAAAAAACAATCAAAACAATGACTTGACAGGTAACAATTGAAGTAAAGAGCCAGGGCAGATATTCACTCCAGCACCACAGTGCCTCCCGCCGCTTCAAGTGCTGCTTTCAGTTTCTCTGCCTCGTCTTTAAACACATTAACCCGGATCTCCTGAGGTAGGGACTCCACAAGCTTCTTAGCCTGTAATTGGGAGAAGAAAAAAAACAGCAATGAAGGACATTACATCATGATCCAAGCCCTAAATCTCATTAATGGGTTGCAGAATATAGCGAAATTAATTGCTGTCTGAAACCTTTTCACATATTAAAAAACACACCAGAGCCACGGACAAAAATATTGACACTGTCATGTCACATTTATATAACGCTTTTCTAGGTACTCAAAGTGCTTTTACATATAAGAGCAAATTGTGATATTGTTTATCACAAATTGTCGGCTTCTGCTTGTGCACTCGTCTTTTGAGGATTGACCACGGGTTCTCTATGGGATAGCCTGGCCACAGATCCAAACTTTCAATGTAATGATCTCCACGCCATTTCATTATCACTCTTAACCTCGTGACATGGTGCTCCATCAAACTGGAATATGCACTGATCATCATTAAATTGCTCCTGGATCGTTGCAAGTTGTTGGGTCATTCATTGTCAAAAACCAACCAAATTTCAGAAACTTCCCCGGCTCAAATGTTTACCCCATGTCATTTGACTCCAAATCTCAGGTGAAAGTTGTCATTTTGACCCCCTCCACAAAACAATAAATTACTCACTAAATATACATTCATGAAATTTTATATATTTTGGCTTTCTTCTTTATTTATGCATTTCTTTCATCAGAAAAAAAAGATCAAAATCAAAATTTTTAGCCGGAGACCTCTGGTTGAGTTGACAAGGAATGACCCGGTTGTTCTTGCAGGAGATTTTGATACCATTCTTTATTCCTGGCAGTGTTTTTGGGCAGAAGTGTGGCACGACACAGGACTCATGGTAGCGTTCACCTTTTCTTCTCCAGACAATTGATTTCCCAGATGTCCCAAACAGTGGGAACGGCGCTTCTTCAGAGAGCACCATCTTCTGCTGTCCAATCCTTATACTTCCTGCAGAATTTCAGGCTTCTTTGGTGCCCTTCTTGACACCAGGCCATTTCCCCAAAGTCTTGCACTCACACTAACCTGCTGCCAATATTGAGCACAGGCGACACGATACCAGAGCCGACTCCTGACACTCCAGTCCTGGACACGCTGGGACGTCCTGAAGCCTTCTTCACCGCACTTGAACCTCTCTCTTTGAAGTTCTTGATGATCTGGTAAATGGTTTTCAGGTACACTATTCTTTGTAACTATTTCCTAGCATGTGAGGCCGTTTTGATACTAAGTGATGATGGTTGCACTTCTTTTTTTTGGGAGGTAACCATTGCTAACCCAACAACACAATGACTGAACGCACTTCCCTCGTTTTATAGCAATCGGTCTGCTCTTATGATCTAATCAAAATGACAGTGATATTACCTGACTAGTACTTGTTCACACTTTCCCATGTGCTGATATGATTAGTGAAATGATGTTAGCTGGTCATTTTGTACCGGGGCCAGAAAACAGTGAAATTTGGGTTTTAGTGGTAATTTATTTATTTTGGCCAATTAAGCTTTTGCGAATGCATTTGATCACTCTGCACAATAACCTAGAAACAATGCATCAACACTCCAACAACTGAAGCAGCAAACTTTGGGAAACACAACATTTGTCACTGCGAATACTTTTGACTAGACAGCAACTAACTGATGTGCGCCAAAACACAGACTTAAAGATATTTAGATTAGTTCTCCTGCCACAGTGGCCTATAAAAAAAACATCCCTCACGTCATTCACCTGTGAGTTCATGTACCAACACCTTACCTGTACAAGATTTATTCCCTCCATGCAGTTCTTCACTTCTTTAATCAGTTTGACTTTATCAGCCGCCTTTAGTTCTGTCAGTTTGACTGTAAAATGTGTTTTCTCTTTCTTTGCAGGTGCCACGTCCTCCTCTACCGCCTGCAAATTCAGTTCAAACATTAGAGGGGAAAAAACTCACTAACAAAACTGTTACATGGCACTTTTTCCACAAAAAGGACAAAATATGATTTTAAACTCTTAAAATAGAGTTCTTTTTCCAACAAATGGTCAGTAAAAATATGAGATGTTTATTTTTTATATATTTTCTAAGGGGTTTAAACATTTTTGCAACCATTGGGACGCATCTAAACGCAGCTTAAAACCTTGATTTGTGCAATATACAAGCTTTAAGCAGTAATGGTTCAAATTACATGAACACATCATTTACAAATAAGAAACAAAACTTAAAAAAAAAGGAATTAAAAAAAAAACTACACCAGAATGGGTAATAGAGAGTGACATTTTTTAAATAATAACAGAATAGTACAACAAATATGGGACACAGCCATTTCATTTTTTCTGGGTATTACACTTATTTTTTAATGACATTTAAAATCATAAAACAGAGAAAGTTGAGAAAATCAAGAGTGTTGTCATTTCATGCGTTTAAAACAACATTCTGTCCCGGCTAGGTTAATTAAATGTTAGATAATAGCTTATTAAAAATACTGTATGTTACAGTTGACTCCAAAAAAAAAAAAAAAAAAAAAATTATATATATTTTTTTTTAATTCATTTTTTAATTCACAGGGAATGGGAGTACATCTTTACCTCTGCGGATGGTATTGCTGCCACTGAGCCCATCGCCATCATTCCAACATCCTGAATGTTCAGCGTTTTCTGATGGGGACAAAAACACACAGCGTTTTCATTTAAGAATAAGATTAAACCTGGGCAATCGAGTCAATATTCACAATGATTTTGCAGGTGATTTTAAATTCTGCAACACCATGAATATAGTGAAGAATTTTATTTACAAAAGATGTTTCTAAGAGTAATTTTGCAATTCCTTCTTGTCTTGCAATTTATTAAAGAGTTGAAACTTTGATTCTTTTGAGTTTGATTCTTTTCTGTGAATCAGTTCAAACAGCCCATTTACTTTACATAAAAAATACTTTTTACAGAAATCATATACTGCTGAATGTTCTGACAAGCATTTATGGTAAACTAAATTATACTTCAATGTAAATTATATGGAAACGTGCCTGTGTTTAAATATCTTTGTAATGACATTTCAATTCAGTTATACTGAACACTGTACAGTTAAAATTTTAATCAAGTATATTACGTTTGCTTTATTCAGCTTATAAAAATAAGTGCACTTTTTTGAAACACAACAAAATATTATTAAAAATAATGAATACAATGTACTTTTAATTAGACATTATTTACAATGTGCATTTTTAAAGGTTCAAGTATGCTAATGAACAGTCATGAAAGTGTGCTCTTTTTAAGTGCACTCAAGTGGCCTTTTTTCATTAATATTATAATAATATCTACAAGGTTTGTAAAAATATACTTTTAACATTTGCGGTACACTACAAGTGCACAACTTGTTGTGTCATCACTCAAAAATGTTCACAGTATTCCCAGTTAAAATAAATGTAGACAAACATAGTGTATTGTGTGTGTGTGTCATATCTATGATATAAAAATACGACTGTGTATATTAATTAAAATGATTAAATATCACTCATCCTTCGGTTCATTTAGTGGGAAACATAATTTGACTGTTTTTAACTAGATTTTTACTGTATTGTATTTTATTTCCTGCATTAAACAGTGTCCACACACAGTGCGCTGTACCTTTAGTAACTCGTTGAGGTCGGACACTTCTATGAGCGTGAGGTTGGCGATGTCACTGACGAGCTGTTGGATTTTGGGCGAGTATTGCTTGGGTGCCCCATCAAGAGGAGGCGTAGTAATGGCACCGGACGCACTGACAGGGCCGGTCTTGAGCGTTCGCAGGGCACACAGTGCTGTCGTCTGTAGCTTGTGTCTGTGAAATGTGTCCATTCACACAACAATCATGAGCATATAAAGCAGCAACATCATATCTATAGCAAAAAAATAAATGTGTTCCTGTAACACAGTTAATACTCCAAATAATGGGTCTCATTCATGAAACACGAGCAGAACGAATTTGTGTGTAAATCGTGTGTAAAGTGGTTCTGGCGTAAATTTTCAGATTCATTAAAATGTTCGTATTTTCCAAATGTTAGTTGGTACACAAGAAATCTACACCTGCTCCCAGCCACGCGTAAATAGTGCGCTTAACACCCGAACGTTTTGCTCATTAATAACTAAGGCTGCATTTTAATTCACCTTAATCGGGTACATATTTGCACAGCATTTAAAAAAAATATTATATATAGTAATTACATACGTTTTTTCTTATTATGAGAGCCAGTACTAGCATCTGCGATGGTGGTCCTTCTCCAGTTTGAATACTATTTTTCCGAAGTGAACTAATTCGTTTTTTGCTCTCAAGCTTAATGTCGAACCATTTTCTTCTCACTTCTGGGAATGTTCGATTAACAGATGAAACTCCATTAACTGCATCTGTAATATGCTGCCAAGCTTCCTTTTTTTTAGGACCCGATACGCCACTATGTACGCTGAAAAAAAATGTGGCGTTTTGAATGAACTTCTGATAATAAAACTTCAATTTCTGCATCTGAGGATTTTTTTTCCATTCGCATTCATGTCATAATATGATGCTCATATATAGTTGTCAGTCGGATTTAATGGGTGGGATTTATGGTAATTGAGAATGAGCGTGCACGCGCATCCCATTTACGACTGATTGGAATTCATTAACACACACACACATTTCACTATCACATCTGACGTTTACGAAGTATTTGTGAATCAGGAGAAGAGTTTTCGGGAAGGTCTCTTTACGCGCAAATCACTCGCATATTTACTCGTATATTTACTAATGTTTCATGAATGAGACCCAATGTCTTTACTAGTGATTAGTATGATTTTACCATTCGAAAGTTTGGGTCAGTATTGTTTTCTAAAGAAAGATCATGGTTTCCATAAAAATATTGCACAGCACAACCATTTTCAACATTGCAAATAATCAGAAATTATTCTTGAGCTTCAAATCATCATATTAGAGTGATTTCTGAAGGATCATGTGACACTGAAGACTGGAGTAATGATGCTGAAAATTCAGCTTTGACCTCAGGAATAAATTACATTTCACAACATATTAAAGTAGAAAACAATTCTTTTAAAATTGTAAAAATATTTTACAATATTCCTGTTTTTACTGTATTTCTGAATCTGATCAAACAAATGCAGCCTTGGTGCACAAAAAAGACTGTTTCAGAAACTTGTATATTATATACATTTTTGATTGTACTATAATGGATATGGATACACAATTTTGGTTTTCACAATTTCTTTTATGATTCAGGAAAAAAAAAATTGAAACTCAACATTTGTTTTCATTGAATTGCATTATAAATATACAGCAGGATCCAAAAGTCTGGGACAACTAGTGAAAATGCTGACTTTTTTTTGTTGTTGTTGCATTTTTCACTACACAATATATTACCAACGAGCATAGCAATTTAAGTCAACAGCTGCATAAACATGATGATCATGTTCACGGCCATGCTTTTTGAGGATCGAGAGCATCAATGAAAGAAAGTGTTGCAGCAAAGCCTCAGTCGGACATGTAAGGTTTTGTAACTATTATGAATGGTTTCTTAGCCGTGCTTGTGTACCCACTGCTGACCTTTAGTACAGAGCAGTTCCCACGGTCAATGTCACATACATTTACTTACATTTGACTAGAGACCCAGTAACAGAAAATATTAAAAAACGTACCAATTGTGTTACATCACAACTGTTTTTTACTCATTTCAAATTAGCTTCCGGCTGTAAATGAACAGACAAAGCCCAGATTTGCATGCTCTGCTCTCTATACATATCGGTTGAATGACCACTACTAGACATGCATAAGAGGAACTTATACACCTGTGATTCATTAACAGAAGTCACGTGACCTTATACGTTGCGGTCATTCTTGATTAGTTATTAGATGCAATATCAAAGCGGTGCATGAATTAAACTAACGTTACACTCCCTCACTTCTGACGGTCAGCGATACATGCATCTGATCTGACGCAGAATAATAAAGATGCACATCACACAGTTATGATCTTAAGATCTGTGCGTGTGTGTTTTATTGACAGGGATGCCTGTAGTGTGTCAGTCCTCTGCCCTTGAGAGGCGCAGGGGGGTTGGTTTAGTCTCTGTCTCTTACCGGTGTGTGTTTGCCGCGGCCCGCAGCGCGATCCGGACGCAGTGTCTGCTGCAATACATCATGACCCGATTCCGTGGGCGACCGAGCAGTGTGTGTGTGTGTGTGTGACTGAGACTGACTGGCTGTCGGTCCTCCTCTAACAGAAGCACATGGCGTCCTCCACCGGCGCTTCCTGACCTACCCACAATGCATTGCGACGGAGGGACAAACTTTATTTAAAATACTCCTGTCACAAAACCTTTTCCATAAAGGGATAGTTCAGCCAAAAATGAACATTATATCATCATTTACTCACACTCAAGTTGTTCTAAACCTGTATTGAGTTTATTTGTTTTGTTGAACAAAAGATATGTTGAATAATGTTGTTTACCCAGACTGTTTTTGGTCCCCATTGACTCCCATAGTATTTTTTTTTTCATACTATGGAAGTCAATGGAGACCAAGGGGGTAATCCATCGACCGGATGTTGAAGCCCGCCGGGTGCCGCCATGTTGTAGCAGAACTTCACTTGCGTTAGCATTTCCATTGAATCCCATTCATTTTGGCGTCACTTTGACAGCGAATAACTTTACATCTGAGGCGTTTAAAGACTCCATTTGTCCATTATTTATTTCTAAAGAAACACGACAATGTATAAAGGGCTCCATTACCTTCTATGTTACATTATGGCCCCGTAGAAACAGATTTAGTAAAAATAAGCTAACGATTGCGTCATAACCACTCGACTCTCTGTCGCGCTGTACAGAAATTACCGTACAGACAGCAGGAGAAGCTCGCAGGCAATCGGGGGGACGTCCCGTCAAGGGAGAAGCCCATAGATAATGAGTCCATAAAAGCAACGGAATACTTACTCCTGCTCACTCACGCCAAAGAACTCTTTGCTCAAGTTCCCCGTCTCTGCAAGATTAACGTTGGCAATTTTCACGCACAGCTACTAGAAGATTCACGTCTGTCAGACAGGTTGCTCACGTCATCAAGCTTAGTTTGAGTCGGTTTGAGTCTGCGCGTCAGGAACGGAAGTGCTCAAAAATCGCTAAAAGTGGGCTTCAACTGTCTCAACTGAGTTCCAATGAGATCGCTCTGTCCATTTCTTTTACTGTCTATGATGGAGACCAGCAACTGTTTGGTAACTGACATTTTTCAAAATAAGAAGCACATACAGGTTTAGAACAATGTGAGTTAACGATGACATCATTTTCGTTTTGGGGTGAACTATCCCTTTAATATGCCTATATTTAAACTAAAATAGAATCTGTAAACAATGGGCAAGAAATATTCAATATGTATCGGAATAAAAACCTAAATGGTCTCAATTGAGATGCAGTACAAAAAGTAAGGTTTCTCAAACAAATCCTAGAAATATCCTATTTAGCTAGCCACTGACATAAAATAACTTTATTAAATAATATTATATTATATTAAAAAAATATTAACTTTAATTTGTATGGATCATGGGCCTTTTTAGACTCTTTGAGAAACAGGCTATTCTCTCTAGAGAAGACATCACCTTATATTAACCTAAATTTTAATTAAAATATTTTAAAACATTTAAGATGCTAAATTACATAATAAACCATAAATAAATATAATGATTGATTGATTGACTGATTGATTGATTGATTTGATTAATTGAAAGTTAGCATAGAGGCCATATATGGCTATTTGACAATTTCATCCACCAGATATAATCAACCTGAAAATGTGGAGAAATGTTAAAAATGCATTTTCCTGCCCCTTTAAAATAAATAGCTAAATTAAATATATATATTTAATTAAATATATAATATTAAAACAAAAATTCAGAAATGTTCTGCATGTATACACACTATAGATGCTCCCTAAAAAAGTATGACTAAGACTCAAATCCTTCCCATTATAAACTGACATAAAAAGTGGAACTTTTAATGATCTCCATCATTACATTTGGACTAAGTTCTTCGTTTAATGTTTTATATGTGTAAATTGCATATCAGTTTTTGTTTCAAGGAGCTCCGCCATCTTGATGTGACCAAAATGGCCACCATGTAGGCTACATTTAAATAGCCTAAGTAAAATAAAATAAGAATATTAATAATAAAAACTATAGTTTTAAAATACCAATACAAGGTAAACATTCTGAAAACCATTTGAGATGGATTAACCAATAGAAAAGCAAAGAATCAACTGATGTTGGAATCTGATAGATAGCTAAACAAAAAGGTTAGGCTATTTAAAGGTCAGCTATAAAATGTTATTTGCATTCTCCGTTTATTTCTTTGTTATCATTTTATAAATGTTGAGGCGTTTGGTTATGCAGATCTCAAAGGGGAGGAGCAGACAGAAGCTTCTTACCCGTGTAATCTCCTGATCAATCTGTCCATCACTGAGCTCTTCCACTGCACCGACTGAGCTACAGCACAGCGTGAGTATCAACAACACATCTCTCATGTGTCTCTGCATTCTGCTCCTAAAATTATAAGCTATTACTGTTCTAAGTTTTACCAAAAAACGACTTTATTAAAAGTGACCAACCATTTTTCAATTAATGGAAATTAGCCTATATTTTTGACATGTCATGTGGAGGGCTGTATGGAATAGATTTGTCAACAAAGGACAGATAACGAATATCAAAGTGTGTAACTTGTCAAAATGCATCAGTGAATTATAAAACGTTTTTGTTTATTCACACATATATGCAAATATATCCATGTATTAGAAAACTAGGTTGCCACATAATGTCCCCATTTAGAGTAATCCACCTCTTTTATATCATTTTTATTTTATGGCATAATGTGTCATTTAAATACTACAAAAAAATAGCAAATTCAAGCACTGCCGCCACTGTTATATTTCACATATGATAAATCGAGATTAAATGTTATAATGCTTTATTATTATTATTATTATTATTTTCCATTACTTTTAAGTCAGCATGAAATGGAAATTGCTATAGTCTTTTCTTCCCTATTGTGACGTGTGAGTGAAACGGCTTCTCGAACAAGAACCAATAGGGCGGGCTTGATTTTGTCCTTGATATTGATTGGATGGTTGTGGTTTGCTATTGGCTGATCTCATGTGAGTGACAGGTTGCCCCGCCCTCACGCCAGTAAACACATCATCAGAGAAGGGAAAGTTGTTTTGATTAAAGATTATGAGGACACTTGAATAAAAAAAAAAAATGTGGACAGGTAAATCATTTATAATAAAAATAAATAAATAATAATCCATTTTGATTTCATGGTGACTTTAATCTTCATTTACAAATGAAAGCCTTACTGATCAATGGTGCCGACCGTCCCTTTGCGCCTTTGTGGTGATTTTGCGAACTGGTCTGTATTTACCGCCTTGTGGCGATGGCTTCGATCAACCACTTACTCTATATAAAAACAAATGTTCAACATTCAACAAAAGTATATGTTTAATATTCCTTTCTGTTGCAGATCATGCTGCTCTCGCCGGCGGCCGAGCGGAGTCAGGACAGCTTGCTGTCGGTACTGTGGGAGATTCTGGAGGATCAGTCGCATCGTGAGCTGTCTGGTCTTGAGTTAGGATCCGGCACGGGCCAGCATGTGGTGCACTTCGCTCAAGAAATGCCCTTTGTCACATGGCAGCCGTCAGACATCAAGGAGGAATCCCGAAACAGGTACACAGGCTGCTGTCTTTACTGTGCTATTATGAATGTCACTACTCTTATATACACTGTTGAAAATAAAGGTTCTTCTTTATTGGCATTTATGGTTCCATGAAGAGCATCCATGAATGTTTCCATTCCACAAAAGGTTCTTTATAGTGGAAAAAGGTTCTTTAGATTTTTAAAGTCCCCCTGTAGTCAATAATTTCATCCCTTAAAACTCATCACCAAAATGAAAAAATTCTTAATGCCTTAAAATAGCCTCGTTTAGTATACGCAGTTATATGAATATGCAAATGAGCCCCGCCTCCACTCACTCACACCAGGTCAGAGATCCACTTGTTGACGATCACACGTTGATCTGATTGGTTACAAGGTAGTTTGTGACGTCAGAAACACCAGCGATTTCAAACCGTGTTTTTGAGACTGTCTTTGGTTCACTGCAGTTTTAAGGAGCAAATACTGTCGACTTGTGAATTTACACATGGTTTAGACATACACTCACCTAAAGGATTATTAGGAACACCTGAAAAGGGAAAAACATCCAGTATGCGGCAGTCCTGTGGGCGAAAATGCCTTGTTGATGCTAGAGGTCAGAGGAGAATGGGCCGACTGATTCAAGCTGATAGAAGAGCAACTTTGACTGAAATAACCACTCGTTACAACCGAGGTATGCAGCAAAGCATTTGTGAAGCCACAACACGCACAACCTTGAGGCGGATGGGCTACAACAGCAGAAGACCCCACCGGGTACCACTCATCTCCACTACAAATAGGAAAAAGAGGCTACAATTTGCAAGAGCTCACCAAAATTGGACAGTTGAAAATGTTGCCTGGTCTGATGAGTCTCGATTTCTGTTGAGACATTCAGATGGTAGAGTCAGAATTTGGCGTAAACAGAATGAGAACATGAATCCATCATGCCTTGTTACCACTGTGCAGGCTGGTGGTGGTGGTGTAATGGTGTGGGGGATGTTTTCTTGGCACACTTTAGGCCCCTTAGTGCCAATTGGGCATCGTTTAAATGCCACAGCCTACCTGAGCATTGTTTCTGACCATGTCCATCCCTTTATGGCCACCATGTACCCATCCTCTGATGGCTACTTCCAGCAGGATAATGCACCATGTCACAAAGCTCGAATCATTTCAAATTGGTTTCTTGAACATGACAATGAGTTCACTGTACTAAAATGGCCCCCACAGTCACCAGATCTCAACCCAATAGAGCATCTTTGGGATGTGGTGGAACGGGAGCTTCGTGCCCTGGATGTGCATCCCACAAATCTCCATCAACTGCAAGATGCTATCCTATCAATATGGGCCAACGTTTCTAAAGAATGCTTTCAGCACCTTGTTGAATCAATGCCACGTAGAATTAAGGCAGTTCTGAAGGTGAAAGGGGGTCAAACACAGTATTAGTATGGTGTTCCTAATAATCCTTTAGGTGAGTGTATAAACAACATTAAAAGCTGGATTTTCACCACAGGGGGACTTTAAAATGTTCTTCACACTTAGAAAAAAATTGTTCACTGTTCACTGAAAGGTTTTTGAGGGACCAAAAATGTTTTTCTATCTATGACAGTTTTGGAGCCTTTATTTTTAAGTGTGTATTATGGAATGATCTGGGTTTTGAGCGTAACGTTACTCTGCTGCAGTATCAGAGCTTACATTGGGGCCACTAAGGTAAAGACAGCACTGGAGCCGGTGCATCTGGACGCCAGTGAACCCTGGGAGAAATGGGCAGGACTGCCACGAAGCTCCTGTGACATTATCATAGCGATCAACCTGCTCCAGTACAGCCCCTTCAGCACTGCAGAGGTATGACACACATACACACACTGATCTGCTTTTACACGGATTTACATGTGAAAACACAGAGGATGAATTTCCCCTAAACAGGGTCTTGCAACTCTGGACAGTCCTGCAGCCTTCTTCATCATGATTGCACTTATCAAATATCCTACAAAACGTGAATATTATGTAATTATATTACAAGTACATTACAGTTCAGAAGTTTGGGGGTATGTTATTTTAAGAATATTTCTGAAAGAAGTCTCTTATGTTCACCAAGGCTGCATTTATTTGATCAAAAATACAGTAAAAACAGTAATAGTGTGAAGTTTTATTACAATTTCAAGTAACTTTTCTATTTTAATATATTTTAAAACGTTATTTCTGTGATGCAAAGCATCATTACTCCAGTCTTCAGTGTCACATGATCCTTCAGAAATGATTGATCATGATTAAAGGCACACTATGCAGGAATTCCGTTTTTGTCAAACAGCGACCCCTAGAGTCGGTGTGGAGTACTTGTATTTAATGTTACTGTCATAAATACCACTCACGCAAAGCGTCTCTGCCATAGACTGGTCTCTGCACTCACAGCCTGATACCCATTTGAAGCTGTTATATTAAAGGTACAAATCTTGCATAGTGTGCATTTAAATAAGAGATCTAGCACTAAAATGTGTTTTTGAACTCAAGTTGAGCGCTCGTGTCCGCTGCTATCAGTGTCATGGATACAGTGTTCTCTGTGGCGCGCAGTCTTCACTCGGACGCGCTCTTCAGTCTATCGCAGTTGCGGAGACTCTCTATTCATTCCGGTGAAATCACAAAATAAAATGCACAAAAACGTGTCCCCGCTTGATATAGACTGTAACCACTGATGAACATATTCAGTTTTGATGAGAGAGAAAAAACTTAGAACCTGTAACCTCTGACACGCTTGGCAAAATATCTACCACTAGACCATTAAAGAACTCAAACAAAACTTGCGGATCGATGCATTTATTTACGGGTTGAGCAGAGAGGCTCATTCTCTTTTCTTTTTCCTAGTCTCTTCTGACCGCGTTTTCTTTGCTTTTTCCATCGTCGAGTATCATGTCTGAAATGCGCGCAAGTGTCTTCGTGCTTCATGTTGTGGTTGATGTGTGTGACGTCGTTGCCGTAAAGCATGTCGTGATTCTCGCGGGATTTGTTGGGGGCGCTCCTCTCAAACTTGCATTGCTGGTTTTTCCAGCGGCGTCCCCCCCGAGCTTTACTACCAGGATGATTCGCCCTACTATGAGTTTGTTTACAACCGAAATGACTTTGAAGCTGTTATATTAAGGTACAATAGTGTGCCTTTAAGGGGGTTTCCCCGTGCCCTGATTGTCATTTGTCAGTTGCGTCTTGCTTCTCCACAAGAGGTTTCAGTCCTTTCAATATAAAAGTATTTTCTACTGACTGACTCACTCATAGACAGTCTTTGCCGCCATCTAATGGCGAAATGTAACTTCTGTTGCTGTTTACGGTCAGGGACTATATTTTTCCAGCAGAAGGAAGGCTTTTAGCGATTTTACTTCATGAAAGTTGCATTGATACATATTTTTTGGCTTTAATATTTGTATTGTGTGCAGGTAACAGTTTAATAAAACGGTTCGATCGTGCCTAACAACCCCCTTCAGCCGTGACTTATTCACGATACAGCACCTCTCCTTCCTTATTGCTTACGTCTTCTCAAACAAGAACAAATGTAGACTTGATTTTGTCAATGGGGAATTGAATGGATGGTTGTGGTTTGCTATTGGCTGATCTCATGTGAGTGACAGGTTGCCCCGCCCTCACGCCAGCAAACACATCATCAGAGAAGAGGTGTTGCTTTTGTTTAAAGATTATGAGGCACATTCATTAAAAAAAATAAAGATGTGCATGGATAAATCGTTCATAAATACCGCAATATTCCATAAAAAACAAGAACTGTCAAACAAGAATTTGATTTCATGGTGACATTAATGTAATCCACAGGGTGTGTTTAAAGGATCTGGGCAGATACTGAAACAGAACGGCCTTCTAATGACTTACGGAGTGAGTTAATCTAATTTCTACATGTTGTCCAATATATTTTTAATTAACAACTTAGTTATAATCGCTTTTTAATACAAGACAAATCTCAGTATAAACATCATAACCTTGTGGAATGAATGTCTCTCAGCCGTACGCGATCAATGGCACCATCACTCCCATCTGCAATGAACACCTGGACCAGACGTTACGCCAGATGTGGGTTTTCACAATCTTATTTCAAGATTCAATATACTGGTAGCCTATTTATTGAGGTATTAGATGAAATATGCAGACGATGTTTCAGGTGCACTGCTTACAAACCCTGTCACAGGAATCCGGAGTGGGGTCTTCCAGACGTCGATGTGCTCCGACAGCTGGCCTTCAGTAATGGAATGAGGATGGAACGAATGGTGAGGGACGCTCAATCTCATTTTTGAAGCCTTAAAGGGGTCATATGATGCTTTTTAATGTTTTCCTTTTCGTTTAGTGTGTAAATGTGTATGTTCGTACATGTATAAGATCTGCACAATGACAAAGCTCATAGTCTCCATCTGAAAAACCAACGACTTTATTAACCGTTTGTGTTTGCAATTGCTTCTGAAGCCTTGGAAGTTAACGATTATGGATAGGGGCGTTACATTTCTGACAAACGCTTGATGTTTTTGGCCAATCACAACACACTGGGTCTTCTGGCCAATCAGAGCACTATGGGCTTTTCAGAAGGAGGGGCTTCGTAGAAATCAAGAGTTTCAGACTATCTGGGAATAAAGGTGTTGCAAAAATGTACAGTATGTGAACATTAAAGCATGTTAACCTATTCTAGTACAACCAAGAAACAAAATAATGAACCTAACCAAAAGTCACGCCTATTTTTAAGACCATTTTGATTTTGAACCATACAACAATTAAGCAACTTTTTCTCCAATAATTTTAATTATCATAATGCATCTGAATGTTTATTTTTTCTGTAATTCTCATTCTCAGTGATGATTTTCTTTTATTATTCACATTGCAATATAATACTAACATAACATACACATTTAAAATGACTACGGTTGAATTCACACTGCAGTAATGAGAATCCAAGTCTTTTTTTCATGTCTGTGTTAAACAGTAATGAGGATTTAGGGGGTGGAGGGTTGTATTTGCTAAATTATGATGAAAATAATGTAACAACACACTAAATCTTAATAATCTTAAATACATGCTTAATTTTTACTTTTTCCTCTTTTCATTCATACTTCATTAAAGTCCCCCTGTGGTGAAAATCAAGCTTTTAATGTTGTTTATATGTCCATATGGTGGATCTCTGAGCTGCTGTGAGTGAGTGGAGGCGGGGAATATTTGCATATTTATAGAACCGCATGACTAAAGGAGGCAAGGGTGTAGAGTTACATTCAAGCTATTTTAAGGCATGACAGATTTGTCATTTTGGTGATCAAAGATGAGTTTTAAGGGATGAAATTATTGACTACAAGGGGGCTTTAAGCAAAATATAATTCCTCATAGTGATATTAGAAACATGAGAAGGACGTTCTTGACAGGTTTCTTGCGATCCACTGATTCCTGTTGATTGAAAAACCCTAAAGACAGAATATTAATAACCTGTAATTTGCTTCATTATTCAACAGATTGAGATGCCCGAGAGCAACAAATGCCTTGTCTTCAGAAGACTGTAGCAAATCTGTTCATTAAGAAAACGGATCCGGTTTCCAGGATAAAACGGCCACAGCGCTTCACTTCCCATCATTAAACTCAGTTTCACATTCTGTCAGTACTGTAAAACACACAAACCGGACAGATTTACATTGTTTTATTGTGCACATACTTTCAGAGACAAGAAAAGAAACATTTCCACTAATGTATGACCAATAAAAGAACAAGATATTTATTAAATATGATTTTAAAATGACTTCTTTTTAAGATGAAGCGGATCAGTATGGAACAAAGGTGATATTAAAGGGGTTACAGAAGTCACCGGTTGTGTGTGTTTGTTACAAACATGCACCGTTCAAATCATCCAATAGCTGTCCATCTCTCCTCAAAACCATCCACAACCACTGTTAAAAATAGACTTTGTCTGCCATCGATTTGATGCTCAATTCTACACTGCGATTAATTGGTAATGAAACTGCGGCTTTTGAGATGGACTGATTCATCTGGTTCTGAACCCCTGGCTGATCCACATCGAGCAAAGATGTCTTACATGCAGCACTTGGAAACCCCAGCCCGTTTATCTGGATCTATTCCATTGGTGATATGCAAATGGCAGTAAAGTTGACATCTCATTGGCTGGTAATTATACGACAGAAGCCAATGTGTCCGCCATCTACCGCATAAATCATTAGTGAGGATTCCACAACACTGATCCTAAACTCAGAGCTTCTGACGTGTTTCTAGAACTGCAGACGATGGTTTTGTCACACGGAAACCAGCACTGGAATGTCACGTGATCTGGAAAATGGTGTGTGACGCCTCAGTGACCTCTGCTAAAGCCAGCAAGTCTCGTATTTGAAGAAAACAAATGGCTGTTACATATTCACTCATGCAAACACATTTTAAGAAAATATGAGACAAAGGATGGTTATGCCGTCTTTTTAAATCATATCGTGTTTCTCTCTCTATAGTACGAATGACTACGCATAAGCTCGGTTTTATTAGGAAAAACTACATTTGAACAAATCTAGAGAGAGGAAAGATAGCAGTAGGGTGAATCTCACAAACATGTCCAGGTCACGTTTTAATGGAAGCTCATTTCTGCTACATGAGGAAAAAAGATTCATGCTTTGGTAAATCATAATTATGACATTACAAATTATGAGATGCTAAGTCATAATTATGAGATACAATTTAACATCCTAATTTCAACTTAACTCAATTATGATTCAAAATAAACGACTTTTAAAATGTGACCGAGAAATTGTCATAATTATGATAAAAAGTTTTAATTGATGTAAAAAGATTGTCACAATCATAACTTTTTAGCATCATAATTTGAACTTTTTAACCCAATTATGACTCATAATATTGAATATTGAGATGAGAAGTCAAAATTGACATATTTACAATATCTAGTCTCATGATTTTGACTTTCAACATTTCAACAAATATTAAATTTGTGAATTTTAATCTCCTAATTATAACTTAGTATCGCATAATTCAAATTTTCATTTCCTAATTATGATTTTTCCAAAGCATGAGCATCTCATGTGGTGGAAATGGGCTTCCATAAACAATAAATAAGCGATTTTTTTATTTATTTAGGACCATTAAGAATTTTATGCATTATTTTCATGACAATTAAATACATTTCCACCCAAATTCTTACCAATGTGTCAAGATGAGTTTATGTAATTCCCATAATTGTCAATAGTGAGTCTTATTAATGTTACAGTTCGTTTTAAAAACTGAAATCAGTATAAAAGGCAGAATAACAAATATTACCATTGTGTATAACTACTTTACAGTTGAAATAATACACCAATTTTGTGCATTACAACAATAAGAATGGGGTGAGAAGACGAGTTTAATTGTTGTAACTAATGTCACAATACCCCAAAAAGATCTAAAAAGGGCTTGGTTTCCTTTATGGGGTGGGTTCTTTTGTTTTGGGGGTAAAAAGTGACCCAGACATTGGGTTTTGTGAGATTCATCCAGCTGTTCCCCACCAGCTCCATCTGTAGCCTCTCCTCCTTCGTTTAAAGAGACAGGGAAGGGAGAGGGACTCAGACGGCCAGATGCTTTTACTGTGTTTGTACACCTTCAACACTTGTGGAGCGAGAGCAGGTGGAGGATAATGACCCCAGAACCGGCAGGGTTGGATGTAGTGTGCTGGACTTGGCGGGTGAAGGCATATGATGAGCGATCAGTCGAATGAAATGAGCTGAGCCTCAGCACTGCCCGGAGGAGCCTGCGGGTGCTGCTGTTGGGATTGCTGCTGCGGACCACCAGGGGGAGCCATCTGCTCAAAAACATCAACAAACAGTTGACAGTGTAAACATAATGTGTCTACTGCACATTTTTGGTAAATGTGACCACAAGACGGTACTGAAATTGTAAAAATGTGACGATACCAGCATTTCCCTCTAGCATTTTGAGCGCTGTTGAACCGATTCTTAAACACCTCTGGTTGGCCATTGTGTTCACTCGCTCAACATATAGGTCTACAATGATTGGCTATGGCCAATCAGAGACCTATATTTTGAGCTTGAGAATGCACAAGCCAATCAGAGACATATATGTTGAGCGCGTGAATGCAATAGCCAATCAGAGACATATATGTTGAGCGCTTGAACACACAAGCCAATCAGAGACATATATGTTGAGCGCGTGAATGCAATAGCCAATCAGAGACATATATGTTGAGCGCTTGAACACACAAGCCAATCAGAGACATGCACGTTGAGCGCATGAATGCAAATGGCCAATCAGAGACATATATGTTGAGCGCTTGAACACACAAGCCAATCAGAGACATGCACGTTGAGCGCGTGAATGCAAATGGCCAATCAGAGACATTTATGTTGAGCTCGAGAACGCACAAGCCAATCAGAGACATGCATGTTGAGCGCGTGAATGCAAATGGCCAATCAGAGACATATATGTTGAGCGCTTGAACACACAAGCCAATCAGAGACATGCACGTTGAGCGCGTGAATGCAAATGGCCAATCAGAGACATATATGTTGAGCGCTTGAACACACAAGCCAATCAGAGACATGCACGTTGAGCGCGTGAATGCAAATGGCCAATCAGAGACATTTATGTTGAGCTCGAGAACGCACAAGCCAATCAGAGACATGCACGTTGAGCGCGTGAATGCAATAGCCAATCAGAGACCTATATGTTGAGCTCGAGAACGCACAAGCCAATCAGAGACATGCATGTTGAGCGCGTGAATGCAAATGGCCAATCAGAGACATATATGTTGAGCGCTTGAACACACAAGCCAATCAGAGACATGCACGTTGAGCGCGTGAATGCAATAGCCAATCAGAGACATACATGTTGAGCGCGTGAATGCAAATGGCCAATCAGAGACATATATGTTGAGCGCTTGAACACACAAGCCAATCAGAGACATGCACGTTGAGCGCGTGAATGCAATAGCCAATCAGAGACATGCACGTTGAGCGTGTGAATGCAATGGCCAATCAGAGACATGCACGTTGAGCGTGTGAATGCAATGGCCAATCAGAGACATGCACGTTGAGCGTGTGAATGCAATGGCCAATCAGAGACATGCACGTTGAGCGTGTGAATGCAATGGCCAATCAGAGACATTTATGTTGAGTGCGGGAACACAATGACAAACCAGAGGTGTTTAAGAATCCATTCAACAGCGCTCAAAATGCTAGAGGGAAATGCTGGTATCGTCACATTTTTTTAAATTTCAACACTGACTTGGTACCGAAGTCAGTACTTATGACAACACTACCATAAGGTATAATATGTCTAAGATGTGTAAAAAATACACTCAAAATGGTAAGAGAGTAGTATGCGAGTAAGCTATTCCACACAATGAAATGTTTAACTATAAAACCTCTGACCTGCTGGTACATAGGCTGCTGCCCAGGCATGTAGGGCTGTTGGGGAGGCATGTTGGGGTCTTGTCCTGGAAGAGCGCTCATCATATTCTGCAACAGAAATCAAACTTTACATCCTGTATGGTTTTTGGGAAGGACATCAGATCTGAGACGTACAGGTTTAATGCAAGCCACGAATGTGCTCTGATATAGTAAAGCATACCTGCATGTTGTATGGCTGGTAGCCCATGTAGGCAATACCATTGGTGGGGGGAGCCTGGGACATAGGGGGCAAACTCTGAGCTTGGGACACCACGTTCTAGAGAAACAACATGTAAACATTCAGACCCAACATTCAACCTTTATGCTACACAAAGCAGACCTGCACTTCCTGAAGGAAATAAAAGTATTTGTTAAGGCTGGGAATAGACATACATTTCATGATTCGATTTCGATTGAGCTTGAAATTCGATTCAATTCTGATCTTGATTCAATTCAATTTGATATCAATTCATTTGGAGATATATATATATATATATATATATATATATATATATATAGGTACAGTACGTCAATTAATCCTGAAGGTAAAAAATCTTTCAACTAAAACAGTTAACTATATGGGGAACCTGTCAGTTGGTACATTACTATAATATTTAGAGGTTAAAAATAACAACAGACTTGTATGCATTTAAATTATACAAGGCAGTTTTTATAATAAAGTTGTGATGATAATATTTTAATGACAAATGTTTCTACACCAATAAACATTTAAACGGTGGCTGTCAAATAAACTTGTTTATCATCACAGATTTATTCAAACGTACATTAAATATTGAAAAACAGCTTAAGTAAAAATATAATGAATATGACAAAATGCATTTATTTATAAAAATGCTCTTCTCTAGAGGTCATTTTTCTAGCTAATTATCGAGTTTATGGACACAGTGAATGGGTTTTCTGAGATAAATGTAACGTTACGTGACTTTACAAGCGGTTTTATCTTTCCGGGGTAAAACACTCATTGAACGAGTACATGTGACATGATACATTTCAGTAAGTTGTCTTGTATCTTTCAATATACCTTCTGATGTTCATTCATGTTCAGCTCACGTGGCACTTAAACTGAGATGCCACAGCGATCACATTAAGAGTGCCAAAACAGCACTTATTGTTTGAATTTCTAAATAAAATTGACATACAGTGGTGTGAATAAGTTATTACCCCCATGCTAAAGTTGCCTAAAAAGAGGAATAAAAAATCATCTTTTGGAAATTGATCTTAATGCCTTAATTAGAAAAATGAGGAAAAATCCAACCTTTAAGGACACCAATTTTCTTTGTGTATGAATAATGTATCATAAATAAATAAATGTTCTTCCTTAAAATACAGGGTGCATAAGTCAGGCCCCCCCTATGTTAAATTCCCATAGAGTCAGGCAGATTTTTATTTTTAAAGGCCAGTTATTTCATGGATCCAGGATAATATGCATCGTGATAAAGTTCCCTTGGCCTTTGGAATTAAAATAGACCCACATCATCACATTCCCTTCACCATACCTAGAGATTGGCATGGGGTACTTTCCATAAGATCATCTTTCAATGCAAATCAAACCAGCTATTAGGCTAACTGAAATAACACCATGCCAATCTCTAGGTATGGTGAAGGGAATGTGATGATGTGGGATATTTTAATTCCAAAAGCCAAGGGAACTTTATCAGGATGCATATTATCCTGGATCCATGAAATAACTGGCCTTTAAAAATAAAAATCTGCCTGACTCTATGGGAATTTAACATAGGGGGGGCCTGACTTATGCACCCTGTATTTTAAGAACATTTATTTATTTATTATTCATACACAAAGAAAATTGGTGTCCTTAAAGGTAGGATTTTTCCTCATTTTTCTAATTAAGGCATTAAGATCAATTTCCAAAAGATGATTTTTTTATTCCTCTTTTTAGGCAACTTTAGCATGGGGGTAATAACTTATTCACACCACTGTATATTGAAAACTATGCCTATGTTTCATAAATACAAGGAATGCAAGAAGTGCTGCACGGGGTGTAACTTCAGTGTCTCGGTGCTTTTTGGGTGTAGGGATGCTTTCACTCATAAGAAAACAAACAAACAAAGGCACTCGAGTATTAGTTTTTAGAAAAATATAAAAAGCCTTTATTATTTCATGGCTTAGATTTTAAAAACAGGTGACAAGCAACGGCACACCTACGCGTTGCGGCACAGACTACGTTTCATTTCAAAAGTAGCAAACCACAAAACGTATTTGGGTTTATTGGATGGGGAGTACGTTACAAATAGTGTTTAGTAAAGTTTTGTTCACACATCAACTGAAAGCAACAGAATAAAAGATTAATTATTGACATTTAAGAATCCATATCAGTTCATTGAAGTGAGAATCGGATAAAATCAGTGTTTTCAACCCAGCCCGAGTACTTGTAACGCAGTAAAAGAACATGATGGTTTTAGGTAAATGTAAGGCTTTGATTCTGAACGGGATGTCCTGACCTGGTAGCCCTGCGTGGGTGTGGGCTGGTAGTTAGTGTAGGCAGGGGTGGTTGTGGGAGGGGCTTGTCCAGGGGCGACTGGCTGCCCGCTGGTGCCTGCAGGCTGATACATGTAAGCCATGTTGGGATCTAAAAAAAAAAAAAAAAAAAAAAACAGTGGGCAGAGAATCTATTAATAAATTTGAACAAAATAAATTGTAGCACATTAGAAGCTGATCTAGTTAAATCGTTAACAAAAGGTAGAGGATGTTTGGGTGACCTGCAGGCATGGCCTGGTACGGGCCACCACCGGCCGTCTGTCCGGGCTGGTTCATGTAGACTCCATGCATGGGCGACCCCTCCACTGAACCAGCAGGACTGAACGTGCCTGGATAACTGGGAGGCCCAGCGGGGGGATAAACCACCCCTCCGGCCACGTTAGGAGGCAGCGACTGCATCTGCAAACAGAACATTACAAACAAGGCTGCAACAACTAATCCATCAAATCAGGGAGAATGACAACAATCAGAATCTGATTATCAATTAATTGCGTCTGTGCGTTTTAAGTCCAGTGATAATTTCCATTTCGCAGAAAGGATTGTCCTGACAGCAAGCGGGTCTCCGTTAAACTTCCCAGACTGAAGCAGGGGTGACAGAGCACTAGTTCTGACTAAAATATACATTTTGCTAAAATACTTGTTGGAGATTAAATGCAGGTTTATTATTCTGCATGTAACACACGCAACTGTAAGTGAAAAGGGACTTTTGTAATAGGGTATAAACTGTAATAATGTTCAGATGAGTGAACGTTTGCATTCCTCCTACAAGTTAACCGTAGTGCTTTGGTTTTGATTTATCATCATTTTTAATTTAGTGATTTTAACTTAATATTATAAACACTTATAATAGGCTTACCATAGTAAGTAAGTAAGTAAGTAAGTAAGTAAGTAAACTTTATTTATATAGAACCTTTCACAGATAAAATCACAAAGTGCTTTACATGTACTTGTGAATCGCCATCATAGTGAATCAGGGCAAGACAAAAACATATTTTGAAGATAAGGATTGATCATGTATTGACCCATTATTTACATTTTGTTATTTATGAATAAAACGAAAGTAAAAAAAAAAAGCAAATAAATGTACAGTGCAGCCTACATAGATGCATGAAATATATTTGGTTTCATTACCCTCAATTTTCACATTGATTGGAGCACAACATTGGCCAGGTTGTGGAATAACATTTTTTGTAAATAATGGATTTTTCATCCGATCAATTAAAGGAATAACCAACAGATTTATGGTTTATAAAAAAATATGAAAATCTAAAAAAAACTTTGGCTTGTAAGAGGCGTTAGACTAGTTTCATGATGCATTTTTTGTCATGTAACTTTTGTATGAATATGAAACATTATGAGATTGTTAAGACTGAGATGTTTCAACTGTGTCTCTCATTTAAGCTTTAATAGCAAAAAAGAGATGGTAAGTCTGATTCATTTGAAAATGATTTAATATTATTCCCTGTATTAATTTAGTAAAAAGAAAAAAAATTCTCAGTAAGAGCAAACTTGTATATATCTACAAAGATATAAAAATGATATATTTACTTGTTAACTTATATTATAATAGTATTCATCATGACTGATGACTTCCTCTGCACACTATGGCAGGCTGACGGTGTCAAAAGTGTGTCTGCAGCAGTGCGCACCTGTGAGTAAGGCAGAGAGAAGGCAGGCATCTGCGCTCTCATCTGAATGGTGTGTTTCTGCTGCTCCAGGCGCATCTGTCTCTCCTTCTCCTGCTCCTGCAGGCGCTGAATCGCCAGCTGCCTTTGCATCTCCAGATACTCCTGCAGCAACCAATCACGGTCAGTTTCCCCCCCTCCTCACGTGATTCAACGGTAAAGCAGAAAAGCAACTTGCCTGTTTCTTCTGCCTCATGATCTCCAGTTTCTGGGCAAGCTGGATTTGTCTCTGTCTCTCAGCCTCCTCGGCAGACCGTCGCAGCTTCTCCCGGTGCTCCTCTCTCAGAGCGTTCAGTGCCGCCCGCGCGTCACGCACCTGCGCCAGCTTGTCCTGAAGACCCTCATAGTACACTGACAGAGAGAGAGAAGACAACATTCAGCATCTCAAGACTCCAATACACTAACAATAACACACCAGTAATCGCTTAACTACATTTACAAAAAAAGACAAGTAAACAATCAGTAATAAAATAAGAACAAATAAACAAATTGCATTCGATAGCACAATATAGTAGAATAAAGAGCAATGAAATGAACATGGCTTTAAAGTTTTTTTTTAGGTGGGTCTAACAGTATATATTCAATACTAAAGAAATTAAAGTAATCAGATGTAAAATAACACTGGATAGTTTTCATTTTAAAAATCAAATCCAGATTAATGCTTACAATTAAAGTTACAGAAGTGATTCAGTCAAGAGCAGCGAGTGATTTTCTCTGTCTTTGGTTCTCTGATCATCATGACAGACATGTTTATGAGGCTGCTGTCACTTTAAGAGCGTATGCACTGTTACACAGCATGCGTTATCTTTCTCAACTAATTAGATTTCAAAACTGACTGTTCACCTGAATACTTGGCAAGACGGGCATTTTCACAATTTTGTATGTATTAGACCGTTTAAGCTCAATAAGCCACGAAACAAGTCACTTTGGTTCTCGCGAGCTGTTTGAGAGGCGGCTTTATGTGCGCGACACTAATATAGATCTCAGTGTTGCACGTGCTTTTGATGAGAGTGTGAACTTGCAATTAAGACTAAAATCATGCGCAATATACAAACACTATTCAACTGGAGCGAATGAGAAGAGTGAGTGAGAGGAGGCGGGTGTGTGTAAATAAATGTGCAGCTGGTGTCGGTGTATCGATACTGCAGATGAGGAGTATTGGAACGTTTCCGATATTTCAGTATCAATCCCTATCAAAATATTGATATTTTTGACAACACTACTCCCCCCTACCTACTTAACTATCTGAATATTGTTTTGATCCAAGTAATTGTCCCATTTTACAAAACGTAAATTGAATTTAAAAGAATTTAACAGTAAAAATAAAATGTGGTGTTTTTGGTAAAAACGGGAAAGAGCTCACTAGCTGATAATGAAACCATATTTAGATTATTTTCATTCTTAATAATTAAAGGGATAGTTCACTTTGAAATAAATTTTTGGTATGTTTTAGCTTACCTCAAGGGCATCCAAGATGTAGGTGTCTTTGTTTCCGCAGTAGTTTCAATTTTTATATTTTTAGGTGAAACCGTTCTTGTCTGTCAGTCATATAATGCAGGTCTATGGTCACCACCTCAAAGAGCATGCACAGAGAAGTCCAAATTAAACATGATTTAATGACTCGTAAATGTAAGTACACATTGATGGCCTAAGACACGAAACGAGCGGTTTGTGTGAGAAAACGAACAGTATTTATATCGTTTTTACCTCTTGTAAACACAGCCACGTCCAAGTGATCTGAGGGCGCGGGCGCTTCGGTCTGCGCAAGCGCCGGAAGTGACCCCTTCGCGCGTGTACGTCACTCATTGTTTACACAGAGCAGAGATTGTAGGTAAGACGGCTAATTAAAATGGTACTAATTTGCGCTTATCCGGGATGTTTAAACCGTCGTAAAAGAAAACAATTACGTATGCTCGCGCGAACTCATCCGGGAGTGGTGAGTTTTCACTTCCGGTGCTTTCCAGCGCTTGCGCAGACCGAAGCGCCCACGCCCTCAGATCACTTGGACGTGGCTGTGGTTACAAGAGGTAAAAACGATATAAATACTGTTCGTTTTCTCACACAAACCGCTCGTTTCGTGTCTTAGGCCATCAATGTGTACTTACATTTACGAGTCATTAAATCATGTTTAATTTGGACTTCTCTGTGCATGCTCTTTGAGGTGGTGACCATAGACCTGCATTATATGACTGACAGACAAGAACGGTTTGACCTAAAAATATCACAATTGAAACTACTGCGGAAACAAAGACACCTACATCTTGGATGCCCTTGAGGTAAGCTAAAACATATCAAAAATTAATTTCAAAGTGAACTATCCCTTTAACGGTTGTATTGAATAGTAAATGCAGCGTTTGACCAGATCACATGTTTTGGAGGCCAATTTGCACCTGTATTTAGCACTGTTCATGAATGTTGATACCAGGTGGAAACGGGCCTGAAACACAAATACGCCCTCGTGACTCACTTCTTTTTTCATCCAGCTGGTTGAGTATTTCCAGCAGCTGTGGGTGCATGTTGTTGATGGACTGGAAGAGAGAGAGCACGGAGCTGTCATTGGTGATGCTGCGGCCACGCATGTGGTTGCTCTTCATGCGGTTAAGGAAAGTGGTGACGGCATTCTGCAAGGCCTTCAGGAACTGCTCGTGGTTCTCCTCAGATTCTCCATTCTGATACTGCTGCTGAAGAAACAGACGCAAGACATTCAGCGGAGAACATGAGTAACGTTAAACAGCGACTATCCATTTTAGAGCTCCAAGTACCTCCACGATGTTGATGGGTTGGACTGGAGCGTGGACTTCCACTGGTTGGCTGATTGGCACGGGCTCAGCCAATGAAACAGGAGCAGGAGCAGAGGGGGTGGGACTCTTGCGAACCTCTTCCTGTTTCTTCTCCCAGTAAGTTCTGTTCAGGTAACGGGCCAGCTGAAAATAATATTTCACAATATTACTGTATTTTTGAGAATGGAAGCTTGTTTTCACTATGGAATAGAACAATTTAAAAGATAATTGCGATTTTTCTGACTTCTTTTGTGAATTGTGAAAGATAAACTTGCAATTGCGAGTTATAAAGTCAAATTCTGAGGAAAAAAGACGTACTTTTTTTATAAGAATTGCGACTTTTTATCTCACAATTGACTTTTTTTTCTAATTCTCTAGTTTTCTTTAGTCAAAGTCAGAATTCTGTGATACAAAGTCGCAAATTGATAGAAAAAAAAATGTCAGAATTGAGAGATAAAACGTATTTTTTCCACTTGGACTTTATTATAACTCGCAATTTATTTATTCAGTGCTGGAAACAAGCTTCCATATTTGAGAGACTTTTTTCAAAAACATTATTTTAAAAAAAAAGTATTATTTTGCCCTGTAGTTTGCATAACTTCAGCATATTTACTTTACTAATACACATTCATAGTCTTGACAGGAGGGTAAATAAATGAGGATTTTTGCTTTTGGTTGAACTATATATTTTTTGTGTTTATTGCCTAAAATCGCTTGTACTCCTCAATTGTAAGTCACTTTGGTGACTTGAAAAGTGTCTCCAAAATGAATAAATTCAAGTGTAACTATTCCTTTAAATGATTGTTTTTACCTCTGGATCCACGTCTTCGGCTGACGGAGCCGATGAGTTCTGAAATGTAAAAAGGGGAACAATTTAGCCTCTAAACATAAATGTTATCTTCAATTCATTACTTAAATGAAGGTCTCTTACCACAGGTGAGGAGTAGAGGGTGCTGACAGGAGGGGCAGAGGAAGTCACAGGGGTGGGATCTGCTTTGGGGTAGGCAGAGTAAGGGTTCTTCTGTCTCTGTAAACACACACACACACACAATCATCACGTGCCCCTTCGTTTCTGCAGACAGCAGCGTTAGCTTGAAGCCCGCCTCACCATCCTCTCCTTCTCCTCCGCTTCACTCTGAGACAGTGCGATGGCCAGCTGCAGCTCCTCTTCCTCCTGCAGCGCGGCCTCGTCTCTTTTCGGAGGCATCTGAGGAGCAGAGCAGCAAGAGGTGGTCAGGACGAAACAACAGGCAGGTGAGGAGAGGGGGCTGGGGGCTTTAATATTTAAATATTAGCAAGGCACACATAGACATTTTGGCTGACACATTTTAAATAACAATATTGGCCAGTATTAAAACACTATACTATTGGGTCTACAAAAAAAGGGGGTATAAGAACATTATATAAAGAGTTTACAGTTTAAGTTGAAATGAATAATAATTAGTAATTAATAAGGGGTCATATCACTGCCTTCCACCGACTGGGACAAGTTAAAGAATAATAAATAAAATAAAAACACCAACACTGATACTGATATACTGTACATCTATATTAAAGGTGAAGAGTGTAATTTCTACACTGTTAACGGCACCAAATGAAACCGCAATATCTTTGCCCGACAAAACATTGGCTCTACCTTTGGTGTGAAACTGCTTAATTGGTGTGAAAATACACCACTAAAAGTTTTTAGTCAGTAAGATTTTTTTAAAGCAATGAATACTTTCATTCAGCAAGGATGCATTAAATTGATCAAAAGTGACAGTAAAGATATTTAAGGCCCCGTTACACTTCAAGCAAATTGAAGAACAAACTGATAAGACATCAAACACTGAACAAAATTTGTTTCGGGAGTTTGAAACAGTTGGTTTGTTCGCCCCAGCTGGTAAACAAACTACCACTGGTCTGTGGCGATGATGTAATAGGTGGGTGTGGCTCTGAGGCTCCACCTTCTTTCACGTGGAAATCTTCATTTCTTCTGTTCGGTTTCTGTTTTTTCAAAGGCTGACGAGCTTAGTGGTTAAAATGTATTTTATTTTTAACACTGTTCCTGGTCATTATAATCCCGATGTTTGTCTGTGCGCTGCACATTTTACGGAGAACAGCTTCCAGAACCAGAATGAAGGCTACACACAAAAGCTTCTCCTTAAATGGAGCAGTTTGTCGGGACAATCTGTTGTTAGTGGATCAAAACTTGTAAGTATGTCTTATTATATGTGTTTGCGTTTTCTTTCAACAGTTCTAATTATAAGTTTTATGTTGCTGCTACACTCTCCTGCTAGCCAACATTAGTGTTAATTTAGTGTTGTTTACTATAGCTTTTGTAAGCTCTTCCTTTTGTAAGACTGTTCACCGCCCCTTAGGAAAATTAACCATGTTTTTGTGATCAATTACTGTTTGTGTAACCATAGTTTTCCGACAAATATCATGATTAACTGGTAGATATCATCGGATCTATAATGTATAAGAAATACATACAACTCTGAAACATCCTGTGAAATCCACGCTTGAAATCCATTTTAAAATTTACACTAGAGAAGAACTAGAAGTTGTGAAGGAGTGTGGCATTTTGTGAACACGCGCTAAGCAAGCGTTGCCAATCACAACACACTGGGCCAGCCAACCAATCACAGCACATTTCGTATTTCGGAAGGAGGGGCTTTATCGAAAACGGCGCGTTCGGGACAGATTGGGAAGAACGGCGCTGTAATAATGTAAAATATGTGAAAAATAATGCGTTTTTGAACAATCAAGCATGAAAGCATATTCTAGTACACCCCAAAAACAAAATCAAGACTTCGTTAAAGTGACGCGACTGGAGCGCTGGATTGCGGAGCTGGTGCAAACACATCCACATAACTATGATCAGATGCTTTCTTAAAGGGTCATTGTCATATTCATCTAACCTTCGCTCTCAGCAGCGTGGACGGCGTTGTGATGTTCACTAACATTATATCACCGCTCACGTATTGCAAACTTCTTTTTAAGCTCTAAGCGCAGAAAGATGACTTCGCCGTGAGTATAAGAGACTTCGTGAGAGACTTCTTTCAAAAACATTTTATAAAATCTTACCAACCCCAAACTTTTTAGCAGTGTTGCAATTCTAATGGCAAATAAACAAACTATTCTGTTTGGTCAAACTAGTGGCACAGAAATGATACACTTCACCTTTAAATGTTGCGTTCGTTACTGATTGGAGTGGGATTGACAGAAAGCACACAAACTCGACAGTAATATGTGCTCTCACTCATGAGCCTCAAAATTGCTTTGCATTTAAGATCCAAATAAACTGGTGATGATGATTAAACTCTTGTTTCTATAAATGTTGGTGGCATGCTTCATAATTGTGACGCCCATGAGAGTGAGCCCTCTATGAAATGTAACTACTTACTGCTTCGGTGGGCACTACCTGAGACTGCTGGGACAGAGGGCTGGTCAGGTACTCAGGGGGAAGCTCGGACGGCCCAGCGCTGGCGGCCTTCCCTTCAGCTTTTCTAGGAGGGGGAGAGAGGGACGGGTGGCTGGTGAAGAGGAGGGTTTAGGAGACACAATCAACCTGGTCAATCTCTGGAAGTCAGCAGGATTATGAACATGAGGGACAACTCAAAAGATAACATTACAATACGAAAAGATATTACAATACAATAGATAGAAATGACAAAAAAAAGAGAGGGGGGGGGGGGTTAAAAGTAGCAACATTCAAAAACCTATTGAGCTACCTTTCTATCAAATGCCTACATAAGCTACAACATTACTGAGATGGGTCATAAGTCACTGATACGGGACACTCAATTTTGATCAATAATAAAAGTATTAATTAGCAAAAAAAAAAAAAAAAAGAAGCGTACTGTCCCCAAACTTTTGAATTAGGGCTGAACGATTTTGAAAAATAATCTAATTGCGATTTTTTTTAAGCTCTTTATCTTCTGTATTATTCTACAAAGACAAGCAATAAATCATTGTATGGTATGACCAACACAATATTAGATAGATTAAACATAAACTGTTCTTTCCTGTAGGCCAGACCTATATGTTACAGGGTTTTTCCTGGGTTAAAAAAACACACACAGTTAAAAGTAGCCCTACCCACGTGATCTGCGAGCCCAATACTGACGATAAATTTAAAATAAAAGCAAAAAAAACAGTTAGTGATTTTTGCTCATCTTATTTTGATGTATGATCTCTTACCTTGATGTTTGTTTCTTTTGTTCCTCACTGTTTACACTTGGTTGCTCACTCTTTTTTTTGGGCCCCTCATTTTCTTCAGGACTGTGGCTGAGAATTATTCAGTTTACAAACTCTTCCAAATTATATATATATAAGCTATGCAATTATCAGACACCGATAAGATCCTTCTTTGCTAGACCTGATCATTATTTGGGTATATAATATCAATATTAAAAAGTAGCATTTAAAAAAATAGCATTAAAAAGTTTATTTGAACTAAGTCTCATTTTCTACAATACACAATAAAATTAGCAGCTAGCTAACAACAACTTGCTTAATTCTGGTTTCACCTCACTCCAAACTAAACTAAATGATTTTATTGGCAATTTACTACACACTTGTCATATAAATAACCTGAAAATACAGTGGATAATTAAGGCTAATTCTTACTAGCCACTCTTGCTAAATGGGGTAAAGCACACTTGCGTTCTCATTTCAGAGGTGTTCTGAGTAAACGATTCGTTATACACTAGTGATGGGTTGATCATGAACGATTACTTCATTTTGAACAAATCTTTATTATGACTCGAGTTGTCTCAGAGGGTGATTCGCTCATTTTGTGTTGACCGCACATGCGCAACATCCTATAGGTTCTGTACAGGAAACAGAAATGATTAGTTCACCTCCTTAAGTCTTCGGGTCTGAGTTGTTTGTTCCTTTGTCATGTAACGTGACAGCTGTATTGGATACAGAAATACTCAAACTTTCTTACAAACAAGCGCGCAGTCAGTTTTTACGTGATATGTGTCCGGTCTCATATTGCAGGTTTTTTTATTTCTTACAATTTATAAATGTGCAAATTTCTGTCATAAAAGTTCTTCTCCATAACACTGTGGTAAAGAGTTGGTTAACGCTTTAACCTTTATCCGAATGATGCGGAAAATCACTTTGATAAAGCAAATACCTACATATTATAACAACATACATTTACGTGACAAAAGAACGAACGACTCGAACCAAAAGACAAGAGAAGTGAACTAATCATTTCTGTATCCGGTACACACTGCATAGCTCAGCTTATGGGGATGTGACGTGACAAACGAACGAATGGCTCAGATCGGGAGGTGAGGTAAACCTTTTCTCTTATTCAAAATGTGATCAACGTTGCGCAAGTAGATGTGTTGGGAGAATTTGGCCGTTAACACGTAATTATATTCTGCTGAAATAAACAAAATTACGTGAAAAAAGATTTGTTCATTTTGATGAACGAGATTCAAAGATCCGAGTCAGTAAAATGATCCGAACTTCCCATCACTATTATACACCGATTCAGACAGTGACGTCATATTGCGATATTATCGCAAATGCAATTAATCGTTCAGCCCTATTTCGAATGGTAGTGTGTCAAACGCTCCCCCACCCCAAGCATGATACTCGACTCACAATTGATTTCAAAATTTGGCAGCTGTATGAAGATTCTTACAACAAAAAAAAAAAAAAAAAATCTCCTTTTGTGAGATTTCATTTTTGTGAGAATTATTATAGGCCTCATGACAGAAAAAAACTAAATGAACAGCACAGTAGCTGTGTTTCTATCCACTTATTTTAATAAGAATTTGGGGATATTACATAAAAAACAACAACGCTGGATGGAAACGTCAAGATCTGAGTAAATTCAAAAAATTTAATTGAGGTGGAATTTTTTTTTATCCATTAAGAAGAGATGCGCATAAACTATGATGGAAACACATTTACCGAATAAATCTCTCGATGCGCTACAACAAACCCATGTAACTTTGCCTCAACAGAGGATGTGATTGGATAACTGGACTAACCAGCAGACCAATCGCATCACAGCATCTCAAATGTTGGTTTGATCGTTCTGAAATGCCTGAGTCTGTCATGAATGATTTGCTTTAATTCTAATTGCGTTGCCAAACATAAGGCGTCCGAATACAAGATAACACGACCGTGTCTGCGTTTCATCTGCGCGCTCTGAACTGCAAGTCAATAATGATATAGGAAAAAGAGCCTCAATGGCTTCCCCAATCACAGGAAAATTCCCATATGTATTACAGATATTCTGCGCCAAATACCCAGGAGGCGACGATTTTGTTTTCTTGAACACAAGGTATGGAAAGAAACGCTGCTTTAGTCGCAAATGTGTCATGCGTTATTCCAATTTTGCGCATAAATTAAATTCCCAACAGTGAATTGAAACATTGCAAGTTATAGCCTAGATATCATTCTTCACATATACTCACTTGTTGAGAATCTCAAAGCAGGGCTCACACACTCGCACCTCCTTCTCAATGCCAAACTTGGGAATGGTAGAGTACTTCGAAGAGCACTTCCCACAGAAGATCTGCCCACATGCCCTGCAGTGGTGCTGAATGAAGAGCCACCAGCCATTATACATCATGAGATCAGCTTATACGGGCCAGTGCTTCTCAAACCTGTCCTGGAGCATCACTACACATTTTGGATGTCTCCCACATCAGGCACCCAATTCGAAGCGGTGTTTGAAATTGCCCCCTAAATTCCCTACATTACTCCACTAATATTGTCCACTTGAAGGAGTGAATGAATACGAGTGAGTGAATTTGGACACTGAGTGAGTCCCGGATGGGCAGCTGATTTTGCATAGTTTTAGTTCTTGCAGTTTAATTTTTGTTTATAAACTTATCAAACTGGCAGCTCCAGTAGTAAAGAAAAAAATGATCTTGAACTCTGTCATGGAAACTAGCATGTCTAAACCTTAATTAAACAATTATCATTTAAAAAGGAACTTATACCAGTATGATATTACGCCGTACCCACATTGGACCAGCAGTTTGAAAAATGGATGGATGGATGATTCACCTTAGAGCGAGACGCGAGAATTCATTCGACGTAGGGCTGGGCGATATGGCCAAAAAAATGTATCACGATATTTTTTTTTTATATCAGTCGATATCGATAATTATCACGATAAATCTTTATTTCTTTCAAGTTTAAAGGCAGATTTTTGCTCCTAAGTGAAAGTTGTATAAACCAGAGCGTTGTGGTTTTAAAAATCTGAGGTAGAACATTCAAACATTTGTCATTTTTCCTTAACAAAATAAATATCTGAAAATAAAAATATTTCTTCAGCAGTTTGCAGTGCAGGCTGCAATATTCAAATTACATGTTTTGTCTCGAAATGTATATTTGACAGTGAGTTGACAGTAAATCTACATCCTAACTCAAGCTAATGCTACTATGTTAAATTTATGTTCATTAACAAAAACAGTAACATCTGTTTGTTTGTTTTTTTAAATTTAAGGACCACATTTTTATTTTGTAAAATGTAATATTCTGACTGTTTGAGTTTTATTAAAATTAACCATTGGTCATCCAGTATCATGCATTTAGATCATGATAACCACAGATTAAACCAGGCATAGCCTATAGCACCTCACTATCATGGCAAAATGTAACTTTATGGTATTTGTATGAAAAACAGTAGCCTAACAGTTAAATACATTAAATACTGTAATTATATTCCATTAGTCATTTAATACATTGTCTACATTAATACTATTATACAATTCAATATGTATATCCCACATTTCATGGTGCAGTTAATATTACTAGGCTAACGTTACAGTAAATCCATGGTAGGCTAAATGGATTCAGTATCAATTCAGATTCTGACTGTTTCGCTGCGCAGTGTTTCTCCTGTTTGTCAGCGGTGTTTCATCTGCCTTTAAACTGATTTAAACTGGACATTGTGTTCTTCGCTGAACTTTAGCGCTTCTCACTGGATCTCGTGAGCGAGACGATCAGAGTAAACGCGTCTGCTCTAGTGAGCTTGCGCTGCCATTTGGACTTTGAGCCGAGCGGATAAACGGTCCGTGAGGCGCGCGCGGTTCAAATGAGTTTCGTTCCGCTTTTGGCGCATACACATTGTCGAACATTTATCGACCTCTTGATATCGTTTTATCGAGAAAAAATATATCGCGATAATTATCGTTATCGTTTTATCGCCCAGCCCTAATTCGACGTGACAGTCACAGTGCATTATGGGTATTCTCTAGCCGTTGAGTGCACATAGGTTGTACACTCATTATTGCGGTGCATTGTGGGATTGAATGAGAGCACTCGATAACGTACAACATGGTTTCGGACACCGCTAAAAATGGCTGTCCCTTCAAATAGTGTCCTATTTAAGGGTATATGGGGGCGATTTCGGACACAAGTCTTGCAGTCTGTACTAATGAGCTGATGAGTTGAATCAAGTGTGTTAGATGAGGGAGACATACAAAATGCGAAGTGGTGAGGGTCCTCAGGTCATCTTTTGAGAAACACTGATATAGGCTACTTCATAAACTTTATATAGCTCAGTATGGTAGATTATCAAAGGAATGGTTTGTACCTTTCGGGTCATAACACCAAACTGAACCCTACATCTGTGACACTCCTCTGCATCCACCCAATCAGGGGCCTGACAAAAACACACACACACACAAAAAAACACATGACAAACCAAACACCAGAGAGTGTGCAGAACGTATTCGCTTTACTCAACAGTTATTCTCACCCTCTCTGCTGCAAACATGGCATCACTCTCCTTGAACTCTGGGAAGACATGACCTGTTCAAGTAGAGGTGATTGTGTTTCTTTAAACAGTGTCACAGCAGTCATTAAGCAACTATTGTTGTTGATGCCACATTCACACATACAGCATTTTTAGCATTCTGTATAGTTGTCGTAGTAGATGTTTGTACAGTTGCATCCCCTTACATTGTTGGTAGGCAGCACAAATGCTCAAAACAAGTGGTCGACATTATATATCGATATCATCAAGGCCAATATATCAGACGATATTTGTCAGTTTTTAATTGTCGATACTGGCTGGCATATGTTTTTCTGTATGTCCAATGTGTCGGAAGTGAGACTTTTATTTTGAAAGCGCTGAGAATGCCAGTGCCTTAGCATCTGAGCTCCCATTCTCCATCTTTATCAGTTTATTCTCTCTGTTTATCAGTTGTCTAATACTTTTATTAGACAGAACAGTTAAACAAAGAATGTAAACGTTCCACTTAAAGCTATTATAGCATTTGTTTTTTCTATTATTAGTAATATAATGGCAAACGCTACAATAGGTCCTAATCTACCATCAGCAAATACACATTTATATCATTAAAACAAGTCTTTGAATATCTAATAAGCATCTAATTTCACAAACTTGCATACGTGACTGTCTGCGTGACAATTTTCGTCATTTCGTCATCTTATTTTATGGACATTCTTATTTAAAACCGAATCAAGTGTTTTTGCTATTTATTTTGCATTGGCAAGTGCAAGTTTGTTTATAACTGGCAGTAGTGTATAACATATCATATCATTTTGGTTACTGCAAATCGCTGTACGTGTGAAGTCCCTTGAGTTTATGAATCTTACCTTCCACCTTCATGATCTGATAGGTATCCTGGACGACTTTGTACTTGGGCTCGTTGCGGAAGGCGTGGGACCAGGCCTGGATCAGGTAAAGGATCTTGTTCTTCACGTTCGGTTCGGGTTGTTTCTAAACACAGAAGAGTCACACTCTCTCAGTGATGGCTTAAAAAAAACAAGCTCTGAGCTCTGACCTCAGAAGTTGCCTAACCAGCTCATAAAAACACACACATGAGAACAACAATATATCAAGCCTCAATAAAGCCACCTCAAATCCTTCTCTGGAGTTGCCAATCTCACAGAAAATCAACAAAAGAACTCCAAAACGTTTAGTTTCTGATTTCTGCTGGAACTCCCCTCAGCGAAATAAACATGTGACGACAAAGACACAATCAGGAAGTACAGTTTAGCATGATTCACTGGGTCTGACCCACTTGGAAAGATCATAAAGGCGGGGCCAAAGACTTTTTAAAGCAACAGTCTAGAGACAGACAGGTTGAGTTTAGCAGCAATCACCTTGAACAGCTCCTTCAGCTCTTCCATTGTCTGCTTACAGGCCACTTCATCATGAATGGTCTGGCCACAGTTCTTCACCACTGACTCCAGGACCTGTTGACAAGCAAATGCTAACTTACACACATGACCTTGACTGATCGGGGGCACAATACAAAACTTTTATTTTTATAATCTCTTGGATTAACTATGTATGCACCCAACATTAAAGTGCTACTCTTATGCTATTTTAAAGGTTTCCAGTTTTGTTTTGGAGTCTCCTACAATAGGTTTAACTTTACATGCATCCAAGGTCAAAAAAACACTTTCATTTTCTCATAACATACAGTATATTGCAGCATGACCTCATTTCTCATAGTGTCTGAAAACAGTTTGCTCGAAGATTCAGTCTTTCTAATCTCCTTCTTTCAGCAATCCTCCTCTGCTCTGATTGGTCAGATGTCAATTAATGTGTTAATGCAAAGTGTTAATGCAAGTGTCGTTTTTCATTATTAGGCAAGTGGCTGTTTTCATTAAGGTAGGCTACCTTGATTTAATTTAATTTAATTCACGCCTTTTTTTCTCTCTTTCTGCCTTTTTAGAATTACACTTCACTGGGGTATGCACAAACATATGCATTTCGATGACATTACTATTATTATTTTGTGTAGGACACAGACATATTTAGATGTCGTAATTCCATGATTTGTTGCGTCTGTGTTATGTTCCGCATGATGGCCCTGTCATCTAACAACCAATCACCGTGATCATTGCGAGGAAGCTCGTGCATGAGAATTCACGTCATCCATAGCAACGAAGACTCACTCTTAGTTTAGGAGTCGTCATTTTTCCTTACTAAGAGTAGGTCTGAAAGGCGTTGTGAATAACTTTTAAGAGAAAACTCCTAGCTAAAATATTTTAGTGCGATTTAGGAGTACTCCTAGTGGTAAGATAAAAATCTTTGTGAATACGGCCCCTGGTCTAGAGTGCTCAACACATAATGAAGATGATTGACACTTACCTCAAGAGCATAGAGCGCTACATGTGGATTTTTGTCATTGAGTTTTTTCTTGATGGAACCAATTGCATATTTTGCCCTGGTGGTGGGAAATGACAAAACAGTACATAAGGAAGTCGAGACAATATTTATGACTCCTGCTCTTACACTGATATGCAAACATGACCAAATGTTTTATGTTCTTACTGCGTATCGCCTTGCCGAATGAGGTCACATATCTGCAGAATGGACTCCCAGTCGGTCTCCAGCAGCAGCTGGCTGGTAGCCTTATCTGTAAAGGATTGGAGGATCACATGTCTGATCAGAATCAATTCTCTCAAGGTCTGTTTACTGAAAACATGGGAAAAGAAAGAGGAAAAGAGTAAGACCATGTTCAGGTTTGACAGTATAGACCCTTTTGCGCCGACGTCACAATTACTACAACTTTTGCAAATAACAATTGCGGTCCTGGACAGTGAGTGACCTTACACATTAAGATAAAATCTGATTTTCTCCAGCAATCATTGTTAAAAAACAAGCTTAGCTAACAAAACTTGCTAACTAGCGTTAGTGAAGCGGTCAGGGGAATCTTCTGACTCCACCTAAGCTCCGCCCACAAAAAAAACATTACCATGTTTACCAACTGAAAAGGGGTCCATAGTAACAAATATGCACTTTTACCTATACGATACCGAAGAAAAATAATAATAATATCGTCCATAATATTATTTAAGTTTCTGATTTAGGGCTAAGTAATACTATATATATATATATATTTGAACTGTTTAAAATAATAAAAGCATGTTTTTCAAACTTTTTGGGTTTGCTTAATTGTATGTGATTATTTTGTATTTTTTTTATATTATGTGCTTACATTTATTTGATAGCATGTTTTCATTAAGTATTTTTTTTAATTATTATTATTCTTGTAAAGCACTTTGAAATACAACTTTGATAGGTGCTATAAAAAATTATGTTTATTCTTTTTATTCACTAAATGAACAAGGAATAACAATACAGAATATTCTTAATTTATATGCACCAATAATATAATACAAACAGCATTTACCTACATATTTAAAATACAAATTACACAATATGCACAAAAAAAAGAAAACTTTAATTGATTATTTTGTTGTTGTTCGATATCTCACTTTAAAATGATTTTACATGTTGCCTATAATTCAAAATCAGAAATGTACACAATTTAATTAATATTTCACAATTACAATATAGATAGATAGATAGATAGATAGATAGATAGATAGATAGATAGATAGATAGATAGATAGATAGATAGATAGATAGATATTTGTGAAGTATTGGAAATGGATCTGATGTGTGAAACAGGAAGTTACGGTTATGTGGTGAATCTGTATGTAAGTGGACCAAAACATCCTCTCTCTCTCTTTACAGCAGTTCTCGATTACATGAGCAAACAGGAAGAACCAACCGTGACTAACGGGAATACACTAAAACACACCTTTAAAATCCTCAAATGACACTTTTCCAAAAGGTGTGAGCAACTGAAAAAACATAAATATTTATTTGAAACGCAATTACAATACGCCAAATTAAATGTGCGGTATAGCCTAATTGCCTTGCCAACAGCAAATTGTGTCAATGACAAACCAAATTCACTGCCAATGACATCAGACACACACGAAAGATTACATAAAGGGAGAAACGCATACATGATTTGTTATTTTATGATTTTGTAGCTTGTGAAATAGAGGCCTGAAAATAGCTTTAGCTCCGGTGCGCTGCTAACTAGCTAACAATATAACTTAATTGATTTATTTAAGACAATAACAACACAAAGTTGAACTGAACTGAAAAGGATAGTCGCAATGTCATGTTTAAGTTCGTGTCACTGGTGTGTTTGAATGTTCGATGGGGAAAATAAAGACAATAGATGTTGAGGGCTGACATTACCGTGACTATTGAAGCTGGCCTAGCGTTAGCATTAGCAGACTCATCGGTCTGTCAGTTAGAATTAACACCGAAAACATCCAATATAATACATACCCAACAGTCTCTCAAATGTTCCGCCGCCTTTGCCCATGTCTTATCTCTGATATCTGGACGATCTCTGAGTCTGTTTAGCTGTTGTTCACCTGTGTGAATAAGCAAAGCGAGTTTCACTGCCGGGTAACACGCGCATGCGCACAAGAAAGACGCGATTGTCAAATAAAAGTCCAAGTTACAGTAGCATAGTCACTCCCTGTAGCCACCAGAGTGATAAAAAAGAGTCTGATTTGTTATTAAATGACATTAGTATTTATAATAAAAGATGTAATAATAAATATATCCTCCTGATTTGTCATGTCCTGTCTGTCATGGTTTTCCACATGTTTGTGTGCATGTGTGTGTGTGTGTGTGTGTGTGTGTGTGTCTGTCTGTCTATGGTGTGTGTGTGTGTGTGTATGTGAGAGAGAGAGAGAGAGAGAGAGAGAGAGAGAGAGAGAGAGAGAGAGAGAGAGAGAGAGAGAGAGAGAGAGAGAGAGAGAGAGAGAGAGAGAGAGAGAGAGAGAGAGAGAGAGAGAGAGAGATTTACCTTATTAATATTTGTATTATTTTGCCCATTCTAGTGCTATCACAATACAACAAATGAATGTTTTATTGATAGGTAACTGAGAATAAGCAGAACATTTCAGTGTGCCAGTCATTTTGTTATGATGCAATGAATTTGCTGCATGAAAACAACGCTGTTACTCTAACTGTCTACGTGTGTACTAAAGTGTGAAAGAGCTACCTGAATGTGACAATGCCCTGACCTGCCCTGAATGTAACAGGTGTGTCCCAATTTGTGTACTTGTGCACTATTCTAAGACATTGTGTAATAGTGTAAGTGTTCATACTGAACATTCCAACAACAATGTTGAACACTTCATGCACTCAACTGTCACAGCTTTACTTATGTAGCATTGTAGGAGCTATCAGATCTGGATCTGGATGATAAAATGACCTTCATATTTTCAATAACTTTCATACACTTGATGGAAGAATACAGTGAGAATGCGTAGTATAAGTACATAGTGTATAGTAGCTCAACTGGGGCACAACTTATGTCACCCTGGCAGACATATTGTCCCATTTATAAAAAATAAGCCCTTGTGCCAACCACCCCTTAGGCTTCTCCATCCCTTATTCTCTAGCAGTCAAGACAACAATACGCACTTTTCTATATTTTACAACCCAGGATATTCACTCGTAGCATTAGGTCATACATGAGTCACTACCTGGCGCAGTAAACAATGCAGCTATTGTAAATGCTGCGCTGCAGCATACAGTGGTATTGTACTGCGGTCTATAGATGCAGAGCAGCCCCCATAACAACAGCCAGAGATGCTCAGAGAGTCAAGACAACATGAGCAGAGAATGTCTTCATCAGCTGGACTGTTTACATGAGATTTATATGCAATTGTACATAACAAACATAAAAATGTGTATCAGATATTCTCTCCCAAAACTTGATGTGAATGATCTTTAGCTTAATGACCTTAAAAAGACCCATGTAAGATTTATGTATTGTTATAATCAGATTAAATGAGAATCTGCATTCTGTATTTCAGTTTTGAATTCATTAAATGAGCAAAATCGAAAGTTGATCGGATGATTCCAGCTGTTACTTTGCCTTCCGTTGTTATCAAAGGGACCTTCTGTTTTCTAGACATGTCTAAAAGACTAATATATCAGTCAGGCCTAGTTTTAGATTATCTGTTTTGGCTGATTAACAGTTGTAGGCCTGTGTTGTAAAATCAGGGTTAAAGGTAGGGTAGGTCGTTTTTGGTCTAAAAAAACTTTTTCCCAAATTTGTTTAAACTTTCTATATATATCAATGCATAATTAAAATGTAAGTACTCTGATAAAAAGAGTATAAAAATCGAGTGACTCTAGACCGTTTAATCTGCACTAAACACAGCTCATTATTTCCTTCCGGGACGAAACAATGGATTGGCTTAGGCGACTGTCACTCTCTCGCAACGATGGCAACACCCCCGCTGCTACATGCGCTGCCCACATGCGCGCACTCGTTTGACTCCAGGAGGGTAAGAGACTAGTAAGAGACACAATCAGTGGCGGATTTAGCAAATTGGGGGCCCAAGGTGAAGGTAGTTTGGGGCCCCCCATCCAATCTTTAAAAGAGAAGGAAAAAAAAAATTCAGAATTTTTTTTTTTAAATAAACATGGCACTTTCTGGAGAGTTTTGTGCAAAGAAATATAGAAAAAAAGTAGGTCTAGCAAGTCTTATATTTCTGTAATTCACAGAGATCATCAAACACAAATGCTGACTGAATAGATTGCTAGTTGAGAAACACTGCTTTAATTAATGTTTTTATGCTGACTTTGTGAAAGGTTAACTAAACAATATGAGCCGTCTTCCTGCTGGCCAGTAGGCCTAAGTTATTTGGCAAATTTCATTCATACAGATCTGTATTATGCTATAGTTTTTGATAGTGTTATACATTTCTTACAGATAATCACGATGATCATTGCGTTTGTCTTACCGAATCTTACCGAATTGCAATAGCTTTATGCAATTACAGTTTGTCTATAAGCTTTTTTTTTTATTAATGCCGACAGTAAAATGTTGCCAGATATTGCTACGAAAAACAAGAAAACAAAATAATAATAATCCGAAATAAGTTCAAAGCTTTTGTTTTGGAAATAAGATTAATATATCACTAACCCTAACATGCAACTTTCCACTTTAATAATTTCCTAAAGTGTCACATTAAATCAGAAAAAAACAAGTCCAGAAGACTACTGCAACCTTTCCATTAGGTGGATCTGGCAACACGGAGGCTGCACGCGCGCCCTCACTCACAACGCGCTCCTGTCTGCGACACTAATGATTTGATGCCTTTTGTCGCAATTGTTTTTTAGAAATATATAATTTGCGAAAAGTAAAAAATAAAAAAAAACTTAAGTATAATTTAATGGGGCATTTTGGGGGCCCCTAGCTAGCTCGGGGCCCGAGGCAATTGCCGACCTTCGCCTAATGGTTAAGTCCGCCCCTGGACAAAATTACATGCAAAACACGGCATATATGTTATGAATCTTACACGAAATTCACCTTCATCACAGTGTAACTGATTGTAATGGGAAAACGTGTATCAATGCAACCTGTTTTTAGCTTTGCTTTATGTTACTAGCTCGTTAACGAATCAAACTCAATATATTTTAAACTTTACCAGTATGTATCGATATGCTAGCTTGATAGTGAGTACTAACAGCCATGTTAGTTGTTTATATTCATAATGATAAAGTTAGGTATTTTATTACATGTGAGTCTGACATGAGGTCACTACATGCACTGCTCCTCTCCGCTGGGCGCTGGTAAGCGCGTCCTCCAGCTGTGAGCTGTCGGCATCGCGCGTTCATGTGTTTTGGGGGCGTGGTTTTGGAAGGAGCCCAGAATGGAGGGGGTGGAAGTGAATGGAGATAAGTAGCTGTGTTTATTACAGCCCTGAGAGGACTACAGACACTCGATTTTTATACTCTCTTTTCCAGAGTACTTACATTTTAATTATGCATTGATATATATAGAAAGTTTAAACAAATTTGGCAAAAAGTTTTTAAAAAAATTCCCACCTACAATACCTTGTAAAATAAGAGTTTATTTAAATTGAACTATTTTGGTACATCTGATTTGCTATCATTAAATTATGAACATCCTATCAGTTAACCGAGATATTCTACACCATATTGATATAATTTTTATAGTCCACTCCAATGTTGTTTGGACAAAAATATCTATTTCAGAATATCTATTTTGTGAAGAAAGAAAATCACACAAGGTTGGAACAATTTTTAAAAAATGTTATGTGAATTTTCTTTTAAGAACAACAATTTAAAGTGACACCTCTAAGATTTTATGTATGGTATTCCATTAAATGATATTAACACCTTAAAGGGATAGTTCACCCAAAAATAAAAATTCTGTCATCATTTACTCACCCTCATGTCATTCCAAACTCATAAGTTTTTGTTCATCTTGAAAACACATAATTAAGATATTTTGGTAATGCTTCCTTTTACAGTCCTGTTACCCATGGACATACTAGGTACTTTATTGTAGTAATTACAATTACTGGGTAATAACTAGGCACTAACCCTGAACCTACCCCTAAACCTACCCCTAACCCATGTACTTACCTTATATTAGCCAGTACTTTCTAGGTAAGTACACTGTAAGTACACGTAAGCACTGTACTATAAAAGGAAGCGTTACCGATATTTTAATGAAACCGGAGAGATTTCTGTTTCTCCATTGAAATTCCATTCCTTATAAAGTTCTTAAAGACATCACATGAGTTATTCATATGAATCAAGCGGTTTAATACAAGTCTCCTGAAGAGGCAAGAACGCTTTATATGATGCACAGATTTAATAGGCTTTTATTTACATATTAATATTGATCAAAGCATACATACAATCTCAAACGTACTTGCTTGATGTGTGAGATCCACTAAGGTTTGTTCTCGTTCGTCAAGCAAACACGGTTGAGCTTTCAATAGAGAGACAGAAATGTTTAATTAATTTGTGTTTTAAAGCTGAAAGAAAGTCACATGGGTTTGGAATGACATCAGAGTGAGTAATGAGATAATTTCTATTTTTGTGTGAACTATCCATCTTATTGTACCTAACATGAGTAAACGTGTCTGCGCTGCACAAAATGTCAGATACTAAGTGGAATTGTCAGCATCTTTTTGAACAGACGGACATCCAAATAATTCAGAGAAGACATTATAAAGGATTTAAAGTTTTATTATTGAATAACATAACAGACAAATACAGAAAAAGACAGACTTATAAGTGGACATTAGAGGTGGCAAGGAAACTTCATTTCACATTTCTATTCACTACCTCCATCATACTACAGAAATATTCTGAATGATAAAAAATAGATGAGAATTAACTTGAATCTATCACAATGGGAAACTCTAGCAGAGAAGGCTTTCGGGGGCCGGCGTGTCGATGCTGGTCATTAAACATAACCCTTGACCTGGCCAGCTCCACCCGCTCGGCGTGGGCTGCTGTCGCCGCTGCTAAACGTAGGAGAGGAGGGAATCCCGGGGGGATTGGACCCTGCGTAGAGGAGCGATCCACCAATCAACAGCAAAGCCGAACCCCCCCAGCCCAGGTAGAGTGCGGGGCCGAGCTCACGTTTGTGAGGGGCCGCCACATAGGGGTCATAGAAATCCTTAATGATGGAATGGGCCGTCCAGCTGACGGGCACGAGGATGAGGAACCCTGCGATGACAAAGAGCATGCCCGACACGCGGGCCAAACGAGCCTTGAGGCTTGGGAGGCCGACGCACTGGGTGCACTTGATACCCAGAACACCCAGCGTGAGCGACAGGGAGCAGATGAGCAAAGCGAGAACCGTAAGACCCCGGGCGGCCTTCATGTCACTCGGAAGAGCCAGCAGGCTGTCATACACCTTGCATTGAATCTCCCCTGTGCTCTGCCAGATGCAATTCATCCACAGGCCCTCGCATGTGATCTGCGCCGTTACAATGTTGTTCCCGATAAAGGCAGTGACCCTCCACATGGGAAGGGTGCACACCAAGAACCCGGCAACCCAGCCGATGATGGACAGGACCAGGCCGAGCAGCTGCATGCCGGTGTTTGCCATGATGAATCTTTTCCAAGAATGATCACTTGGAAGAGTCCAATGGATGGCACAGACAGAAACCTTCGATACACTTCAAGGTCAGCGAGAAGCGCGAAGACAAAGTCCTTTCCCTTTCTTCGTAAGTGAGTTCCAATAAAGAAACAGCGTAGTAGACTGGCAAGTGGACCTAAAGATTGGAACAGAGGAAAGGGTATAAGTTACAGTAAGTTACTGTTTACAGGAGCCAAACTCTGAGAACACATGCTGATATAAGTTGCAGTCTTGACATGGATTCTTCAAAATTATTTCTAAACATTCATGGTCTTAAAGCAGGCATGCCCATTCCTGCTCCTGGAGGGTGTTTACAGCGGAGTTTAGCTCTATCCCCAATCAAGCACACCAGAAACAGACAATCAAGGTCTTTGGGATGACTAGAAACTTCCAGACAGGTGTGTTGAAGCTAAAATTCAGAAAAGTTGCCCTCACAGAGCAGGACTGGAAACCCCTTTCTTGAAGAGAGAGTGTGGGCTCAAGTTAAACCGGGGGGTGTCCAACCCTGCTACTGGGGGGACAATGTCCTGCTAAATTTAGTTCCAACCTGCCAAAACACACCAGCCTGAAAGTTTCTAGTAATCTGGAAGAGACTGGGATAGCTGCAGATTGGAGTAATGGGCTTGTCAAAAGGTAGAGGCGTGCCAAAAAGGTACACAATGCTACAATAAGAAACTAACCCCTAACCCTACTCCCTAACAGGCAGCTTTCGAGACCAATTGCAAAGATCTTTCGGCACACCCTTTACTCCAACCTGCAGATACACACACTTGATCTAGAAGATCTTGATTATCTGGTTCAGGTGTGATCGCTTGACACTGTACCTCAAAGGGACTTTGTACACTATCAACCCCTAAAAGGTGCATATAAGTACTCTAGAGTAGTGGCATGTTCTGTTTAGGGGTAAATGAGGTACAAAGATGTCCCTTTGAGGGTACTAGTGTACAATTTACTACTAGGTACAATTTACTTTCTGAGAGAGTAATGTCAATTACAACAGAAGATCATTTCAAATTGTCTCTCAATTTGATTTAAAACAAGCAAATCTTTCTGTTATAGTGATATGTATAAGTAAACATACATTCCATCAGAAATGTGCTCATGTTTTTGCTAATATACTTATGTATTACTCAGTAAACATGTTCATTATGCAAGCTGTCTAAATCGACCTTGAAGTGGAACTACTTTATAGGTGAATGAACTTTTGGATACTGTTCCTGTAGTATGATTCCAGGTAGACAGCTGCCTTTCTTGTATTAAATGTGTGTGTCGTTCGTCAGGTTTAGTGGTGTTACGTGGTTATGACGTTATGACGTGATTATATCAAACTAGTCACATGCTAACAAGCGTAATGTCTGTTGCTGCAAACACACTATCTAACTTTCAAAGATTGCTGTTCTTTTCACACCACACAACTGTCTGTCATCACTGATGTCTTCAACTGTCAAAACACATTTCACTCTGCAGGAGCTGAATAGCAGGCATATCTAGATATTTAACCTGCTAAATGCCTCTCAGACATCTGGGAATCTCTCAGATTGTGTGTTTTTGAAAATACACACAGCAAACTGTTGGCGAGTGGAAAATCAGAGCCAAAACTGTGTAGTGTAACTTGTGGCAATACCTTTAAAATGGTGTTTATTTTATTGTTTACTACCTGGTGCTATGAATTTCGACTGCTTTTTTTAAAACAAAACAAAATCATTTTCAGAGGAAATTGTTATCATGCCACAAATGCTGTTATGCATCTTAACTTGTAACCCAGAACATTCCTTTAAATATTCATGTGGTTTTAGACATAAATATTTAGGGACTGTTATGTACAGTGAGCATTACTGGATTCACTATAGATCGGAGAGAATGGGTCCTTTTCACACTGTGGTGGGTGTAGAGCTACGCCTGGTGGGGTGAGTGGATTATCTCAGAAAAACATGAGGAGCCTCTGGACACAAGAAGCTTTCTTTGAAACGTTCAGAGTGGGCCAAGCAGACTTGAGTCTGTTTATGTCCAATCTGAATGCCGTGCTGCATAAGCACTTAGTCGCAATGATAAACCTCACAAAAACACTCAAATGCTGTTTAAGATATTAACATTTCAAGTTATTTACTGAACCATTAACTTCTGATTTCCATGATAAATGATTGAAATTGTTGTTACCTGATTGACGACAATAACGTCCCTGAAGTTTAACTCCTTCCACAGCCACTCATCTGCTAATCCTCTATCTTCTTGTGTTGGGTTCCTTCGATCTGGAAACAGAGCTTGACCTGAAATGCCATAAACCTGCGATGGAGGTGAAACCTACAGATTTAGACCTCAGGAGAGGCTCAGCTTGGGTTATTGTCACTTGGGTTGTATGTTTGAGAGTGAAGTGCTGCCCTCTGGGATGCCAGCTCGGGTCTGTGTTGCGGTGGGCAGAAGCATGCGCTTATGTGCGCGTTCGTGTCAGCGTGTGAATGCGTTAATGTGTCTTGAGTGTGTCTCCCAGTGCCTGGTGTACCAGCACAATGACTCGCTGTTCTCTCGCCCTCGCGCTCCTCGATCCCCAACCCGTCCATCTAGTCCTCTTTTTCATCCTTCGCCTTCTTGTTCCTTGAAGCGAACTCCATCGTTTCTTACTACCTTTCATTCGTTTCCCTTTCATAAAAGTTCACAGAGCGAGTACAAGTATGTTAACGTCTTACAAAGTTTCATGTCTATGTGACAATGGGATATGTGTAAAGTTATAAATAACATTTAAGGAATAAATAAATAAGAATGTACAATTGTAGCTATTGCACGTTTTGGATAATATAAACTTTTATGTTTTCAAAAGTTTGGATCAAACCATTTTGTTCATTTAAAGAAATGCATCATCTTCTGTTGATTATTGTAACTTATATAAATTGTAATAATAACTTTTTTTTAAAAACATTTTACAGAGAGGATCTCAGTTGGACTTGCCCGGACAAAGCGTGCTACGGTGTTGCAGGGCAAGTAAAACATTTTTAAAAGTCTGTTAACAAACAGTCTGCTCATACTTACTGTGGCCTTTTATTTTGTTAATATTATATTACCTGCAAAGTAGTTTTTAAAAATATACTTTATTTTAGGTTCAATACAAGTGCACGTTCAGTAATATTAAGAGCACTTATTTTTTTGCTAGTGTATACAAGGTAGGCACTTATTAGCCCAAGTCAAAATGGTCGGACCCCAGATCTTAGTGATATTCCAGTCAATAAATTCAGGCTTCAGTCCCTCCTTTAATGCAAGTCAATGGGATTTTTTTTTTTTTTTTGCTTGTTATATTGTCCAGCAGGTCAAGCGTGAATTTGATCACCTAGAAAAAAATATCCACCTCTCATGAAAAACTTGGACAGTTTGAGGTATCCTTCATGTCTGTAATTAAAATAAGGTTTTAAGAAGCACCAGTAATAAATAAAAAAGGAATATGTGTGATGATAATTATAATAATTGCACCCTATAACGGCAGTGGTAAAGGAAGTGGCTGGCATATTGTTTCAGATGCTGCAACAGCTGCTGCTGATGATAAGGGGAGCAGTGTTCTTTTCCCCATGGGGTCGTCCCGGGCTGAAGATGGGGTGGAGCTTATCTGTGAAAGTATCTTTGAAAGTGTAGATATGAGTCCCGGTATCCAAACAATAGAAAGATACGCGTCCCCCCTCATAGTCTAGGTAAATAGACACTCTTTTGGGCTTTTGACTGAGGCTAAAGGAAGTTGGTGGGATTGTGTTAGCAACATACTGGGTGCCATTCTTTAAGCTAAGTGTCCAGAAGCCATTGGCTGGACATATTGTGAATTTTCCCTTTCTGTTGACAGATTGTCTGGCTACACCCAAATCCCAGTCAGTCTTGTCTCCGACCTCCACTTCCCAAAGGTGTCTTCCATAGCTGAAGGCTTCCTTGGACATTACATTGGCCACCCGGTCAAACCTCTTGGGGTTCTCTGGGACTTCTTGTCGCTTATTGGCGTGTCTAACCTCCTTTCTGTCCTCAGAGACGTAGAGGTAAGCGTGAGCTGTCCGGGGATTCAGATTAACATCAACTGAAAAGGAAGACAGACGATTGGCTTTCTAGAGAAACTCGTAATGACAGAAAACGAATTCTATTGAAACATCAATGAAAACACACCTGAGTACTTCTGCAGCCTCTTCAGTTCTGAAAAGAAACAAGTTGCACATGAAACATAAATGGCATAAAAAATTATGCTAGCTTGCTAAAAGTATTACATTCTTACATTTAAGATGCACCCAAAGGTCACCGTTTAGCAAGTTATCTTTAACAGTTCGGTCTTTATAGAAACTCACAATTGCGAGTTTATATCTCTCAATTCTGACTTTATTTCCCGCTATTAGTTTATAACTCACGATTCTGAAAAAAAAAGGTCTGAATTGTGAGATATAAAATCTTTCTATTCCGTTGCAGAAACAGGCTTCTATAGTTATCGGCCATTTTAAGAAGCAAAAGTTGAAATTGTACAGCTTTTGACCTCAAACCATGGAAGTTTAAAATTTCTAACTGCAAAAAAACCCCCAAAACATAAGCTTGATTAATGGAAGAAGTTGTGAGAGATATGTTTAGTACTAACAGGCAAAAGCACAGTGTTATTTCAATCATACCAGCTTTAGAAAGTCTTTTAGCTTCCACCTTGACCGTGTCCATGAAGTCAACCACAGCCTGACTGGTGACGCCAACACACGGATCAGTCTCCAGTGTGACTTTAGACCAGTCTCTCATTGCTCGCGGTATATGACTGAAGCTCTATAGATGAAAATAGATCGATTATTCTTTACTATGCAATACACGTTAAAAGGAATATTTCACCCAAAATGAAAATTGGCCTCATGTTGTTCCAAACCAATATTTTTTTTCTCCATGTAACAATAAGGAAAACTTTTGATGAATTTCACACATGCTCTTTTCCATAAAATGAAAGTTCAAGGTTCATATATCAACACTCTAAAAAATAATTCAGAAAATCAGAAACCATGGAAACTAATAAGGATCGGGAACACAGGCACAAAAAAAAAAACTAAACCACACTTTTTTGTGTGTTTTAGGAGGAGATCTGTTAGTGTTTAATGTTTTGTTGGGATCTTTTAGGGGTTTCTGTTATGTTGTCGTCTTATCTGAAGAGTAGAGCCTATGGTTAGATCAAGGAAGGGCCAAGAGACTATTAGACTACTGCAAGTTGCTTTATATTAAAGCAGTAACTATGTGCGAGCAATTGCTTTGATGGTTTCTTAATTATGTTAGTACATGTACTATGAGTCATGCATTTTATTCCATTCATATTCCTTTGCTATTAACATAATGACATAACATAACAAAGACTAGACAAAGTAACACAGAGCAAAAAGAATAAAAAGAATAGTGCTAGCAAACAAAACAAGAAATGTGACTACCTTTTTAAGACGCTCCTTGTCATTCAAGAGCTCTAAGTTGGTGTGTCCTTTGTCCAGTTCAATTATTTCTTTCTCCAGGTCTTTTACAAGTCTTTCAACCCTTTTCTCCGCCTCTCTTTGTTTCTGCTCCACTGCTGCCACTACCAGTTTATGGCCGTTCTCTAAGGCGCTCAACAGAGAAGAAAACACCCTCTGACTTTCCTGAACCTCTCGGAGACATGAGCTCTGTTTAGAGAAAGAACAGGTTTTCTTTTAGAAATAATTGTAATAAATCTGGGTCAATAATTTTGATTAGCAAGCAAGTTTAAACTAATATTTCAACCAAATATAAAACAGTTGCCCTTCATTTATTGTTATAATGTTTTTAAACGCTGTGTCGTGATTGGTCGCGTACCTTTAGGTACTTTAAGGAATTCTGAAGTTTCTCAATCTTTTGAACTCTTTCCTGAATCATTTGATCCACCTCTCCTGCATTCTTCTGTTTGCAGTACACGAGTGAAGAACAAAACCACAGAAGTAAGTTGTTTTCAGGAATGCTGTATCGTTTAAAATGATTCAATTTTTTAAAAATGATGCACTCACAGGTTCATCTTGAAGTTCATCCATACTAAAAAACTTTGATTTAGCAGCCATACGTGTCTTCCTGTAGTTTTCGGTGACGTCTGCCAGTATGCGGTTCACACTGATTCGTGGTCTGGAGCCAAAGGCCCTCCTACAGAGCGGACACTCTTCTGTCCCGCTGCGGCTCCAGTACGTGCGCAGACACATTTTACAGAAGCTGTGGCCGCAGGGTGTTGTCACTGGGCTGCTGAACATGTCCTCGCACAGAGAGCACAGGAAGTGCTTCTCGGACAGGAGACTCATGCTAGATTCCATCCCTGAAAGATCACAACGGCAGACAACTGAAAGTACTATATGGCAAATTACATTTAATTATAAAAATAGTTTTAACCACTTTTAACCCTTAAACACATACCACAGGTCTTTAGTGACCCGGGATGTCATTAACTACCCTCCACCTCATTCATTTTTTTAGTTAGACATCAACCTTCTTAGTATTCCTCAATCAATTTATTATAAACAACATGACAAGAAAACAATTATAATAGAATCCCTGTTTTCCCATTTATTTTGTGTAAAAAATTGTATAGGGTCGTTGAGGACCCGAGTTGTGTAATAGTGTGAGTATATATTTTTTCTGCACAACAATAATTGAATTTTTGATGCCTGATTAAGTGCTATTCACATTCATGTCTGATACAAAATGATGGAGTGACGTTTCACTCATTGTCAACGCAGGCAGAAAACAAAAGAATAATCAGCAAAACTTGAATTGGCTTATTGATTTACTGCAGAGCAAGTACTGAACTCGATCAAATATTAGTGTCACTGTCACTTGATGGTGGATCTGGTGAAGAAGCTGTCAGCGATCAAAATATTGATTTTGAAGATGTTGAAAATGATAGTTCTGAGAATATGTTTGAGATCGTGAATATGAGCCAGATGTTGAATGTATTGGGAAATGAGCTCTGACGAGGACAGTGATGATGGTATAAAACATCTGCTCAAACTGAACCCTTCAAAGATCCAAAAGTTAAAAAAATATGCTTTATTTTATTCTTCTGTAAATGTTACTCTAATATCAGGAGAGTTTTATATCCATCCGTGTTGGTTATAGATACGGGTCGCTAAAGACCAGAATATGTAATAATGATTGGCGAAACATTCATGCATTTAAGGGTTAATCAAGTGCCTAAATGAATCATACAATGCACTTATTGTGTACATGTTTAAAAAAAAAAAAAAAAAGTAATTCATCTGTAATGTAAGACTGGAAAAACTGGTTGAAGAGATAGACCTGACCACTGGTCTATGAGACAAAGGACCTTTCTGGAAATTAACATTTGACTTCCCCTGCACGAAAGTCTCACCTTATCTACATTGTGAGGGACACCTAGAACTCACAAAAGAATAGATATGGTTTAATGTGAATGATTATCATTGAGTTTTGTGTTTAGTATAAATTAAAATGTCTCAGAGTGAGTACAAATGTCTCATTTCCAAATAAGTAAAACAAAAGGTAATAAGGTTTTTAAGAGTTTAGAGAAACTAGCACACAAAGGAAGATAGGCAAATGGTCCTCCTCCTACCCCCCAAAAGGTGTAACCTCTGAATGCAAATTACCATTGTTAGCATGTTTCCATGTGAATGAGGTTCTGGCTATTTAATGGAAAGCAGCAAGGGATCGGGGCCTTTTCTGTACTTCAGAGAGGCCGATCTCTCAGCTTCAAGTATTTCCTAATGTCGGGTTCGTCTTCTCTTTATTCCAGAGCATTTTATGTTTTGTATTGATTATCTTTAACTGATTATGAAATTGGAATGATAAATTTACCTGACATAATAAATTGTTACATTTGATGATTCTAACTGACCTTGATATTATTTCATTAGAGTTAAAAGGAATTAGTCAAACTTTCGCTTATATTTAATGATGCACAGATATCATTAAAAACCTTTTCATTTATGGAGTCAGATGAAATAACGAGAGAATACATATGAAAAATGTATTGCATTTAACCCACAATACTTTGCCACGAGAAAAAAACAGTAATACGCATACCCATACCACCAAACCTGTGCATAACCTGACCCGTATCCCACCTCAGTAGCAGCACAAGTGTTTTTCAATACAACATCAACACAATAAGTACATTGTACCTAATTATTACAAGTACATGACCAAATAGGACATCTGTATAGCCTGTTTTATCCCAGTACTGGTGATGATCTAATGAACGAAAACTTTAGTTAAGATAAGAGATCAGAAAATTCTTGTCAATATAAAGCATCAGACTCATTTAACACAAAATACCAGGGTAAAAACACAATCTGCAGTCCTCTTCCTAACTTCACTTTCTGCATATATCATTTATAGAGCAAAGCTTCAGCTATTGTGCCCATGCAAATATTTGCAAGCGCTTATATAATGAGTCTGTCTGGCATTCCATTCAGTGTAATGTGGATCTTCACAGGCCTCTCTTCAGAGTCAACACAGTGTGGTATGGGGAAGAACAAGTTCAACCAGAAACCCCTGTCGCCATCAGGACAAGTCTAAATATTTATCTAGCAGGTTTCAGGACAGATTTTCAGACATGATTCTCAGTAGCTATAAACATTTAATAACTGGTTGAACTTAAAAAAATTAACTGCACAGTACAAACTGGAACTCAATTATACATTTACATCATTTAAATATTTACCACAGTTGGATATTTATAAATCTGTATTGTAGCTGTTGCTCTTTACACTGTGAGCTAACATTTAAAGGTACAAGACAAAGGTTACAGTAATCTCATTGGATCTTACCTGTACTTCAGCGCATGAAAAGAGTTGTTCACGTCTCTTAGGGTGAGTTTCAGAGTGAGCTGGATCATAAAGTACACAGGTGTGTTTTCAGCAAGGGGAGGAGCCTTGGACTTTACACTGAGTCATGCACATTACCACATTGTAAAGACAACAACCATGATTTCCATTACAAAATAATGGCTATACACGTCACAATTAGATATGCCCATTTCGCAGCAGTAAATATTATTGGGTCATAACACTTTTATTGGTTTACTGATTAATATCAGACCAATCAGAACACACTTGATTGAACACAGTCGATTTATAAATAGCTCTAATATTTTTCGCTGTTCTGAACTCAGTTTTTAATTTCAAATGTTTTCCTACACTTTAAAAAAAATGTTTGATTCAATTTTGTTTTTAATGAAATTATGTTGAGTTAGATAAACTTAATTTATCATAAACATCAAGATAATTACTCAAAAAGAAAAAGGTTGTTCCAAGTAATTGAGTTGTGGACCAGGCAATTAATTAAATTCAACAGCTAGGATTGAACATGGAGCACATAACATTTAGCCTGTAAATTTACTGAATAAGTAAAATATGACTTGTCATGGAATATTAGCACAGTTATTGCTCATATGCAGTGCTTCAGACAGTCAGACACAACCTAATCACAGCACTCTTCAGCACAATGGTAACCACAAAAACTTTAGTGTCAAACATTATAGCATCGTGGGAACTAGAAATCCAACCTGAAATAGAAAGTTACACCTGGTTGCACGATATACACGGTGCACGTACAGTTAGTGCCTGTTATGCACTTTAGGTAAGGAGTGTGTGCCACCCCTTGTACTTTTGTGTTTTCCTTAGCTAGATAGAGTAGATTATTTAGGGCGTTGTGTATACCGAATAATTTCTTTGTTTTCTACATTTTTCTTTTAGTAGGCAGGTTAGAAGGATTGGAAATTACACCTTAAGGAAAATATATATATATATATATATATATTTTTTTTTTGTCTTTGATAAATACTGTAAATAGCTCAATACATTCAGTCTATACATTCAGTCTAGTGGCTTCAGCTTTTCATAAATAAAACCTATTGTCTTTAAAAAATAAAAAAAAATAATTCTTTAACCTTTATTTAACCAGGAAAGTCCCATTGAGGTTAAAAAAACTTCTTTTTCAAGGGAGTCCTGGCCAAGAGGCAGCAAAAACACAATCAATTACATTTATAAAGGTTATACAACACAAATAATTAAAAACATTTACAATTTAAGCAGGTCATTTCAGGTTCTCTCAATCTGGACTTTTAAGGAAATAAGTTCAGATAATTTCAAGTCTTTTTGCAAAAAATTCAATGCAGAAGGAGCGGAGTAAACAAAAGCCCCTTTTCCCAGTTCTGTACGGGCAAATGGAACAAAGAGCAGCAAGTGATCATTTGATCGCAATGAATAAGAACCAACACTTCTCCATGTGATTAAACTACTGATGTAGGATGGCAACAGACCAAGCATGGCCTTATAGATAAAAATATGCCAATGCCCTGATCTCCTGTTGGACAACTTTTGTCACTTATATGTTACGTTCTATTCCCCTAACATCATAACACAGTCAAACTATCTTTGGTATGGGCCGGTTTTGTGTTGCAGTTTAAAGCATTTGTGAACCACTAAAACTCGGGATTACTGACTCAAAATCATATTATAAACATATTTTCCTTACGTCAAGATGACGTGGAAAGCTTTTGTAAAGCAATAGTTAACCCTGCGTCATAGGCTACTCAGTGTAAATGGAGCCCTGTGTTATCTTGCTTTACATTTCACACTGCTCATAATTTAACCACAGTTAACAATTAATCATGGGTTTCATAAGCTGACATTTCAAACTCTATACATTCCTAAACCCTGGGTTAAAGTTATTACTTGCATTTGTAGTGTCAGTGTCACTGACTGGTCAAAAAACTCGCATATCCTCATTTTTCAAACTGCCGACTGCATACTGTCAAGTTTATCCTGAATGATCTGTTCAGACTATAAAAGGTAAGAATTAAAGGGTCGCTCCTTCACTTCAATTGACACGCTTGCTGTCACCATTTGACATTTTTATCCTCAAATAATGTAACTACTACTGTTTATACAATGCGCTGTTTCTGTGACTTTCTAATGCTCACTTAGCCTGGCTAACGTCAGACCACGTCTCATTGACATTGAGACGTGGTCTGAGAACCACATGTTCATTTTCTCGTATTTGAGGCGTGGTTTACGAATGCCCAGAGCCGTTTATTGGGTGCTACGAATGTCTATCAAATGCGCCTGTACGTAGCTCATAGCCAATCGTTTCAATTATACCAGATGACGTATGTAGAGCGACAGAAATTAGACGAGGAAGAAGACGATGGGTCAGAGATTTATTTGCGTTCTAAACTACTTAGAACAATATCTAAGACTGCATCAAAAGGTAACTTCGCGCCTGCTGCCATGTTTGATCCATAGGTATAAACAAACTGCTTCGGTGTGTCGCATAAACGTCGTCATCGTCTTGCTGCTCCCTCCCCGTTCTGTGATTGGTCCCCTCGCTAAGGCGAAAATTTGGTCAATGGTATCCAGACTGCCTAGCAGAGTGAATAAAATCGCGCTGCGCAAAGGCAGTATGGGAAATCCCAGGCTAATGCTCACTACACATTGTACGATTTTCTGCTGTCCCAGACGAAAGATGATTAAGCAAGCTGATTTCTGTGGTTGTGACTCCTTTATCCTAAGCGTTGGTCATAAGAAGAGATGAGATTTAAAAAATGATAATAGAAGGTGCAAGGCTAGGTAGGTCCAATGGCAGTTGATTCCATAAGCAACGGGCAGCTACAGAAAAAGCTTCGAAAATCGAAAGACATACAAAAGAAACCTATTTGATGATCTGAATGGAATAAGAAGATCTTTGAGATAAAAAGGAGCTTGATCATTTAGAGCTTTAAAAACAAACAACACAATTTTAAACTGGATCCTAAAATTGACCAGGAGCCATTGGAGCAATGCTAAAATAGGGATGACATGGTCCTATTTCTTTGCCCTGGTCAACAGCCTTGCAGCTGCATTTTTAACCATCTGGAAGCAAGCACGAGATGACAATGAAGTACAATGAATTACAATAATCTTGTGATAAAAGCACGAATAACCTTCTCCAAATCTTGGAAAGACAAAAATTATTTAAATTTGGAAAAAATATTGATAAAAACTACTCTTAACAACTGAATTAACCAAATTTGCTTAAGCATAATTCTGAGTCCAGGATGATACCAAGGTTCCTGACCTGGGAAGAAATTGAGGGGTAATGATTGCCAAGCTCATTAATAAGACCATCTCTCAATCTCGGGGGACCCACGACAATTATTTCTGTTTTGTCCTCATTAGGTTGGAGAAAGTTATTTGTTAATACTTTCTTAACATCATCAAGACAGTCAACGGTACAGTATGTACAACTGGGTATCATCAGCATATAAATTAAACGAGACATTGTGCCCTCTAATAATATTCCCCAGCGGACGCATATGTTAAAGAGAAGAGGGCCCAGAATGGAGCCCTGGGGTACACCACTAATAATAGGAGCTAAAGAGGAGGAAAACGTACCCAATAATACAGAAAATGACCTGTTTTTAAGGTATGAACTGAACCATTGTAAGGCAGTACCCTCTAATCCTGCTCCTAAGCAGGGTTTCATAACTCCAGGTTCAACTTAGTGCCAACCCTGCTTATAAATTACAAGTGAAGCGCTCCTGTACCCAGGGTTAAAAGTGGGGTTTAGAATGACGATAACCCAGGGTTAAGCCCAGTGTGAAAAGCCCTGTACAGTCTGTAGAAGATCCAGCAGTGTCAGAGGCTGACTCTGTGCACTATGCAGTCCCTTTGTGGGCATCTGCGAAGGAATTGGAAATGTAGCTCCATACTGCATTAGCTGCACCTCCAAGTACACCACCTAGAGCAGCACCGATAGCAGCTCCTACTGCCATACCGTCATGTCCTATCGCAAATCCAAGAAGTGCACCTACAAATGCTCCTTTTCCAACTGCAACAGCGTAATCAACAACTCTGACCGTGAAGCCAACCTTGTCTGCGACAGCCAGCTCTGCTTTCTCTCTGCACTCCAACTGTACCTTTACTTCATACTTCATAACCTCACTGGGAAGTGCCTCCCCTGAATGTTTGTTCTCCAGCACCTTCAACGTCTCCCTGATCTCCTTCTCCTTTGATTTTCTGAGGAAACGCTCCTCTATCTGAATTCTTTTTTCTGCATCCTTAAATTCCAGGTTTGAAAACATGCCATGCTCCAAGACCATCTCATCGACCTTGGCAAACAATGCTTGCGTCTGGCTGCCTTCCTTCTGGTTTTTTTCTTCATTGAAGCAGAGGTAGTTCTGGACACATTTCTCAGCAAGCTCTCTAAAGCTCTTGTTCTTCTTAACCTCATCCTCTATGGACAGGGTTGTCAGATCTCTCTCATGGTATAAAACAATCAATGTGTGCTTCAAAACACGATCTCCAAAGTAGTGCACCACAGGCTTCAGTATGTTCAGAGTGTCAGAGGTCAAATGAAAAGGGTCTAGAACAATCATTACAGCATGAGGACCTGGAGAAGAGAAACAAACCGCCTTCCTGAGCTCCTTGTGAAGCACACTGTCCGGCAAGTCGTTGTCTTGAAGATTTGGTGTGTTGACCAGGGTTATTTTTCTCTCCTGCACAACCCCTGAACTTTTCTTGGTAGCTGAAATATTGACATCATCTGCCGTGAAGACGTCTGGCCCCAACACAGAGTGTGTCAGTGAGATCTGATCCCGACTTGAGCTGCCAAAGACCAGCAACCTCAATGGTGTTTCACTGCTCACTGTGAGATGAAGTAAAAAAACAACAACAAAAAAACATTATTTATCATATTAACCGTAATTAATCAAATGTTCTGATTTGTTCTTGAACTTACTGTTAGGTCTATCATGTTCAAAGCTCCCTCTTCTCAGAGCTTTCCCTTTGACTGCTGCCATTTTAAGAGTAGAACTGACAGGTGTTGACGAAATCAGGATATGCTAGTCTATTAAAGAAAAATACATTTTGAAAGACATAGTATATTGGTTTAAAAAGCCACAGCTTGGATTTAAATTTAGGCAAATGCTTAAGAGTCTATGATTGGATCATTATTGCAGTGATTTTTTTTTTGTTTCTAGCATGTTGTATGTTTGGGAATAGTTCTTCTAACACTAATTGATGGAGTGTGTAGCTTTTCATTTCCTAAACAATGTAGGAAGAAGACACATCATGTTCATATTCCAGGATGACAATGTCAAGATTCATCAGGCTCAAATTGTGAAAGAATGGTTGTGAGGGAGCATGAAAAATCATTTTCACACATGAATTGGCCCCTCTGAGTTCAGACCTTATATAAATTAAAAGTCTTTGGGATGTGCTGAAGGAGGTGCTTGTCATACAAGATTTTGACCAAAAATGTATGCATGCACCTATTGATGGATAAGCATCACAACATTTATTTCCATGAGGTACATACATTTTTGGTCACGATTTTCTAAATTCAAAATATTAATAAAACCTATAATACTATCTGAATGACACTAAAATAACACTGTTTGGTTACCAAAATTCTTCAGAATATCTTTTGTTTTATGCAGAAAAAAGAAGTCTTTGTGAATAAGTGATGACAGAATTTAAATTTTGGGTGAACTATCCCTTTAAGTTTTATGCTTATACTGCATTACAACAACACAAGATATAAAAATAGCAACCATTCCAAAGCATGTAGAATATTAATATAATAACTTTTATACAAAAAAAGAAAGACAATAACCTCTGAACTTACCTCTCATGTCCATGGCACACCAACCCAGCAGCATCCCACTACAAAAACAACAAATATTAAGCATACAGATGCAGTTTTATTACGTGGTAGGCCTATTTCATAGTTCTGGTTTATTACATATTTATATACGCCAGCGCCGTGCATTTAGGATAAAGTGAAATCATAGAGATTATCTTTAAAATATGTAAAAAATAAAAAATAAAAAAAATAAATAAATGTGAAAACCAACCCAGCTTCCATAAACAAATGCTTACCATAACAACCCCTCTTTGATCAGCAACAAAAAATAAATAAATAGTATAGGCCTACTAGAGCAAATTGCGAGAGAACGCAAAAGCATTGACTTATTATTTTTCCTCACATTATGTTTTTCCCTGACCACATGTCCATTTAGGGCGGGGCTCCGTATATGGAGCTTTTGATTGGTCAGGCCGCCTGCCTGTCTTTCTCCAGTTTTCGTTTTGAATGTATATTCACTTTTTTTTTTTTTTTTTTTTTTTTTTTTTGTCAAAAGCGCTTTTCAATTGTTTATTTTGAAAATGCTATTGTTATTATTCCGGCGGCCCTGGGTTCAAAATATTATATTCAGAGTTGTTACTATCCTGAATATATTTAGCTGTCAGCACGCAATGTTTTCTCGTGTTAGAACAGTCCAACAGTCGTGTTAGAAAAGTTCAAAGTTAGTGAACTTTCGTTTTTGCATATACGTTTTCTCAAATCATTTCTTTAGTGACATACGCCTACTTAAATGAATTAGCCTATAGATTAGTACATACCCATGTTTTCACCGAAGTACAACTTGATGAAAGTGCGAGAAAAAAGTTGTTTGGAGAAAAGTGACAGAACGTCTGAAAATGAAAGTAGGCCTACTGTATCCTATAGGCCCGCCCTATGTATTTCGCAATATGACGTGACGTATTCCCTACTCGAGTGAAATAGCCTAATTTGTTTATAAAACTTTAAAAATGTCCAAAAATTTTTCGATTCAAATTATTAATTCAAAATACTGCCTTACACATATTTGCTACTGTCTTGAAACACACAGCAATAAATGCAAGGTATAGTTTTATTAAAAACAGAAAAGTGTTGGACAACATAATCATCAGCATAAAGCAAAACAAAAGGAGGACAATCCACAAAAGACAATCTAGAATGCAAGCCTACAATTCAATACAGGTGACCAATTCAACTTTTCAGTATTTTTTTTTAAAACATATGTAATTAAAAATATTCTATTAAATTAGAAAAAAACAAAAACAACCCTGTAACATTGTAGTCAAATGACCTCTAAAGATGCACTGTTACTGCGTATCCAGAGATGTTGTTACGATCACCAGCTGGAGTGCCCTTAGTTGGCCAACAGAGGGCACTCCACCCTGAACTATTGACACACCGTCTCAGACTACATTACCCATAACCCACTACCCGGAATTTTATTAACCATTAGCTCATTACCTCACCCTAAGCCTGCTTGTCTCAAACATTCATTGCAAAAAGTCTTGTTTAATGTTACTACTGCAATTCTGAGCATAATGTCTGTAGTTCCTGTGTTTATGGTTTTGATCTCTGCCTGTTCTTGGATTTTCCTGTGCCCTTTGATTGTCTGGACTGCTTACTGTGTGTTTATGACCTCTTGCCTGTTTATTGTATTACGTTTTTGGATTACCCTTTCAAATAAACTGCACTTGGATACCGAACCTTCGTGTCTCGGAGCAGTAAATGTGACAGGTTTGGTGAAATACTTTTTATTTGTATTTTTTTATTATTATTTGTAGTCATATTTGTAATATGTGTACTTTAAAATTCACATAGAGATTAACCCAGAGCCATATTTTATTTTATTTTTTTCACTGATGCAGATGCTAAAGAGCATAAAGAGTTTTTCCTCCCTGTAAATAAAATGATTTAATTCCATGAGGGCTGTTTTCTTAAAGATGAAATATGTATTTTATGTTAAAATAGTTTCTCCTTTTCCAGCTTATAGGCAAGAAATGAAAATTCCTATATTTACCTATATTTACAGATAAGGAACCTGTCAGTCATACGGTTGGAATAGGTGTATATATTCCCGAATTTAAAATACAATAAGTTTAAAGTTGCCTTAGGAGTTATCTGTGTGTACACTGCAGAGTTAACAGCTATAATAATATGACTTCAGCGTTGAACAAGTTAGACCAAACAGAGTAGTAATATGCTCAGATTCTTCTTCTGCCTTAATTAGTTTATTACATGCGAAATCAGACAGAGAAGATTTATTAATGGAAGTACCATTATACAGATTGAAAGAGGCTGGAATAGTGGTGTATTTTTTGTTGGGTACCAGCACATGCTGGGGTCTCTGGTAATGAGGTTGCTGGTAAACTAGCAAAAAAAGCACTAGACAAGAGAGAGGTGGATGATAAAGTACCTATGGGAAAAAAAGAGGCTAAATCGATTTTAAAGAAAAAGGTAATGAATAAGGTAGATGGGACAGTAGTAACACAGGGAGATGGTGTTTTAGTATTACACAGACAGTAGGGACGATAAATTGTCTGGGAGAAAATAGAAAAGAAAACGTATTGCTGTCTAGATTAAGATTAGGACACACACGATTGAAATCAACACTGGCACTTATGGGTTTACATGAAAATGTTAAATTTCAGACTCCATGTTAATTTGCACTTCAGTACAGTAGGTGGTGATAATGCTCCTAAGGAGTTAATCGCCATTAAAACAAAAAGAAAAAGAAGAAGAATATCAAGGCCTTTGGCAGAAATGCAACTTTTTGGATGCTAACTCCCATAAAACACCAAGGAAGAAGAAGAAGAAGGAATATCAACACCTGACACCTAAATGGGTCGATGATCATCTACAGCTTGGATTGTGAATGACTCTTTGTGGACACTTACCCCTCCAGAACTAGCACTTGCACTTTGGATTTCATATACACTGGTGGACATCTTGAACTATCAACACAGAGTTTTCTTAGGACTGTTTTTTGAAATGGCTCCTAAGTGTCGCGCCCCCTTTTTTGAATAAACATGAAAATGCACAATCCGAACTTAAATGGTTGTAATTCAAGAATGCTTTGTATAGTAAGCAAGTAGGAACATTTAGATGCAGGGATTATTTTTGCAGTTCCAGGCACACTTCAAAGAAACGTAATCTTTCTGTATTCAGACCGGAGGTGCCCGAAAGAAGCGGTTAATAAAAGCTGCATTAAAGTTGGCTGTTTGTGATCCCACTCTGTCATCCAAGTGTTGAATGGCCAGCTGTGCAGCGGCACCCGATGCCCCGCCCACAACCCCTCCCACTGCCCCTCCCACTACCATTCCTGCCGGCCCTTCCACAGAGCCCACGATCATTCCCATGGCTGCTCCAGCTACAAACCCCAGTCCTAGTCCCACAGCCAGTGTAGTCCTGAGCCGGCTATTCTGCAGCTCGGCCTTGTCCCTGATTTCTGCCCCGACACTTGCATTGTAGTTGTCCATCTGCCAGCGCAGCTCATCCCCCCGAAACTGCTCCTCCAGTTCCTGGCACGTCCTCTTGATCTCAGAGTTTCTCTTCTTGCGTAGCTTTCTCTCCTCGGTTCTTATGCTGTCCTCTGCCCTCTTGTAAGATCGGTTAATGTAATGTTGTCCACCCACTGCCTGCAGCATCCGCTCGATCTTATGTAGGAGCTCCCTGTTCCCGGCGTGGTTCCTCCAGTTCTTACTGAAGACATGATAGCGGCCGTTGCACTGCTCCACAAGCTCCCGCAGGTGCCAGTCGGTTCGCGTGACCTTGTCGTTAAGCGCTCTGCCTCTAAGATGCCCATCGTAAACCAAGAGGACCATTGTGTAATTTAGAACATTCTCTCCAAATTTATTCGTAACCAGCTTGGGAGTCTTCATGTCATTAGGGCAGATCTTCTCCAGGTCGAATGCGATGAGTACTGCATGAGGTCCGGGAGACGACAAACACATTGATCTTCTCAGCTCTTTCCTCATTTTGGACTTGGACAGGTCTTTGTTGTACATGTTCGGTCCGTTGATTACTGCAACCCGTCTTCCTACAAACTCTCCCACATTTTTCTGGCTGTATGTAATGCCATAAACATCCCCAGAGAACTGCTCCCTTCCCAAAATGAAGTTGGTGAGAAGGAACTGGGATGTCCCACTGCTCCCGATAACCAATATCCTTAGTTCCACATCCCCAAACCCTAGGAGGAAAAAAAACCACAGTGATTTGAACACAAGGAATAGTTGAAAATGAAAATGGTGTCATTATTACCTCACCCTCACATTGTCTCAAACCCATTTGCTGTATTTTTTTCCCCAGTGGAACTCAAAAACACCATGTCAAGATGGACGCAAACACCATACAAGAATGTCCATATGTCTTGTGCACTATATTCCAAGTCTTCTTCTTTCAGGCTTAGTTAGGCTGAAAGTCAGGCTGAAATTTAATTCATTATTCACTGAAAATCTTTCCCCTATCACATTCATGGTCAGTTTCATTGGCTTGTTTAGTTTCTTTGTCATTGTCACTGTCTTGAGTTCTCGTTTTTTACTATGGTTTTTGATTAATCCTCACCTGTTCTCCATTCTGTTAATCATCATTCTCTGTGTATTTAAGCCCTGTGTTTTTGTTCTTTGTCTTGTGTTTTGTTCTAAAGTTATGTTTGTTGTGTTTTTGTATCACGCTTCCTGGATTATTAAATACTGTTTATTGTTCATTCTGTGTTGTGCATTTCTCCTTTTGGATTTACTACTGCCATGCCTGACAGAACACAAGACTGAAATAAGGATTTAAAATATGGACTTGCTGGCCTTCAATCTGCTCTGTCTAGAGTAAGGAAACAAGAATCTCGAGGACCATACCAGTGACTTTCTAGACCTAGTGTGTCTTGCCACCTTCCCCGACTGCTCCGTGTGTGTTTTTTTCTAACCAGCCTAAATTAGCAGTTTAAGGTATGCCTGCCTGGTGTTGGTCCTCTAGAGAATTTCGAGAGTTTGAGGAGAGGGTGTTGGTGAATAACGGATTAGCATTCATCTGCCCCACTGAGGACGACATCAGCCCCACTCCAGATCCAGAGCCCAGCCATCCACCTGACCCACTCTGCACGGAGCGAACGCCTGAGCCCATCGCAGACGTGGAGCCAGAGCCTGCCACGATGAATGAGCCAGAAGAATGGACTGAGCGACCATCGCCACAGGGCCTGTGCCCAATGAGAAGTCTAACCAGCTGTGTGAGCCGGCAACACAGTCCGTCCTAGTGGGAGTGCTAGCGGTGTAGGAGGGGATGGAGGAAAGCCCCGCCCACACCCCCGCTGCTGAAAGTTATTGCAGCTTGCCTCTGTAAATTTGTATGAAGATTTGGAAGAGGATTATCTCCGAAGTCTCCTGTCACCACGGGTCCAGCCCAGCTCCAAGACTCCTGTCCTGTGTCTCCAGAGATCCCACCCAGCCTCCCTCTCCCACTTCCTCTTCCAAAGTCAGCCAGTTCCTCTGCCCCACTTTGGCTGTTTGCCTTCAATCCTTCGGCTCCTTCCCTGACGCCACTCTACTGTGAGGATTTGCCTCGGGTCTTCCAGTCTCCAGCTCTGCCTAGTCAAAAGGATCTCCAGCTGTCGATCCCGTAACTTCACCTGGCCCGTCGACCTGTCGGCTCGCCTTGGCTCCTTCCTCCATCGGCTCCACCAGAGACCATCGTCCTTGCTGCACCACAGGGCTCCCGCGTCCCTCCAGCTCTGTCTTGGTAAGACGTCGCTCTGCCTGCGCCACAGACTTGCAGGTCTTCAGACACGCTTCGACTCCGTCAGGCTCCGCCTTTACCCTGGCTCCGCCTTGGTCCTCTGGCACCCTGGCTCCACCTCGGACGGCTCCACCTCGGACGCTTGTCACGAAAACTCCACAGTTTTTTATTTTTATTAATCCTCACATGTTCTCCATTCTGTTAATCATCATCCTCTGTGTATTTAAGTCCTGTGTTCTCCTCTGTTCTTTGTCTCGTGTTGAAGTTATGTTCGTTGTGTTTTTCTATCGCCCTTCCTGGATTATTAAATACTGTGTTTATTGTTAATTCTGTGTTGTGCATTTCTTCTTTTGGATTTACTTCTGCAACGCCTGACACCCCCAGAGCCATATTTAAAAAATGGTTTGACTCCAACTGTTTGGCAAACACTCCAGTTCAAATGCAGAATGGCATTTGAGAGCTGCAGTTGGGGGGAATCTATTCTGTACATTTCTGTGGTTATTTTGTCAATAAACCAAAATATCTGTATACGACTTCAGAAGACTGAGTATAGCACACACTGGGCTACTCTTATGGGTCTTTTTGTCCTATTTGAAACTTTTTCAAGGTGTGAAGCAGCATGAAACATCTCCCTTTGTGTTCCATAGAAGAAAGAAAATAATTCAGATTTGGAACAATATATGAGGGCAAGTAAATAATGACAGAATTTATATATTTTAAACTATTCCTTTAAGATTAAAATGTACTTTATATTATTTTACAGTGATGTTACCAACAAGTTGAATATTTTATAATAATCATTTTTAAAATATATGTTTCTGTTTTGTTATACATGTATATTTTGTAATAATATAACACTACTTGTAAATTAGACTTTTTGATTAAATAAGAAAGAAATTTAATATGCAGTACATGTGTTCAAAATTCATACATGCATTTAGAGTCAGACATACCTTTGTGAAAAAAGTAAACATTAACATACCTTTAAAAGCATAACTTATTACAGAAATAATATACTTTAAATGAAAGTATAAAGAATTAATTATTTAATGTTTTCAGATTAATAATTAATTGCATGTTATTTACAATAAATTAAAAGTATTATAAATGTATATAAAATGCAGTTAGTTGAACCCACTGACTTGTACATCTAACATCTTTATATGTAATTTCATAATTACTTCTATTGTCTTTGAAATATGGTTAAAGTTATACTAAATGTACTGACAAGCATTTATGGTAAACTAAAATATACTTTCATGTCATTTCTATTGAAAATGTTTATGTTTATGTATTATACATAAATATTAAGGTGCAAATTAGTACATTTAAAATATATCAACTTCACATGTAATATCAAACAACACGCTACAGTTAAAATTGTGATCAAGTACTTTTCATGTGCTTGTTAATCAACACATCAAAATAAGTGCACTTTTCTAAAGCATGACAAAATGTTAAAAAGTGATTTTAAATTTGACATTTTTACAGTTCACTTTTTAAAAGTGTACTTAATTGCATTAAGAAACATAGACATGAATGTACACACTCTTTAAATAGAATATCACATAATCTGCAAGTACTGTTATATATACAGTTAAGCACACAATGCATGTTGTGAAGTAATTTTAAACTTACCTGCTCTTTTAGGCATGTTTCCTGAGGCTGCTTTGGTTTACTGTTTTTTGATGGTATGTTTTTGTTGTTCTGATACAAAAAGCTTCTTTCTTAGTTTTTAAAAATAATATTAGTCAGATGCCACATTGCAGTAGTTTTCTCATCTCTGCTGACAATGGACAAGCTCTACATGGATGGAATAAGGCCTGGAGACATGGGGAATTGAATTCCCTCATGCACTTGCCCAAAACACCCCACCCCACACAAACACATGACTTCGATTTTGACTGCATGAGTTGCATCATATGGCATCACAGTTTTGACTGACAGAAAATACATTTTGTTTATATATGATTTATGCTGTTTATAGTTTTTGAGTGTTTCTAAGATTTTTGTGTTGTATGAAATGCGTGTATCTTATAACTTTAAACACTAACTAACCCTGTCCTTTTTTAACAAAAAAAAATGTTTTCAACTGACAACAGTATACCAATTTTTTTTATAAATTAGGTTAACAAACACAACTGATCAGCTATAGGGCACAAGAAAAGTTGATTGGTCATGTGTTTGGTTTAATAGTTGGTATAAATTATTTACACCAACACTATGACAGAGTAATTATTAATATAAGTAATTTTTGTTTGGTTGTATGGGCTGTACATGGTTTGTAGTCCTCTCTGTGGTTTTTAATTGCTTGTCCTTTTAAAGATTATGATATTGGGTGATGTCTGGCACTAAGGGTTTATGTTCCTTTATATTTTATATGACCTACTAATACTATCAATGTGTATTGATCAAAACATCCTCTACGACTGAACATAACGGACCATGGCTAAGAGATGAATGAACAGCGTATTACATAATTCTTAAAAGTACAATCTTAATAGATGTAAAAGTGGATTTAAATAAATGGAATAAATGGAATAAAAAACAAACAAATAAATAAATAAGACATTGTGGGTGAAGATTTTTTGTAAGTCTCCTGTAGTCAATAATTGTATCCTTTAAAATTCATCTTTGATCACCAAAATTACATTTTTTTTTCTTGAAAAAAATTATTAATGTCTTAAAATAGCTTGAATGTAACTCTACACCGTTGACTCATTTAGTATTCCTGGTTCTATGAATATGCAAATTAGCCCCGCCTCCACTCACTCACACCAGCTCAGAGATCCACTCGTTGTTGAGACTGTCTTTGGTTCACTGGAGTTTTAAGGAGAAAATACTCAGCAATGGTGTTGACTTTTTTTGCACATGGTTTGTCCTAAAGAATATTAAAAACACCACATAAATAAACAACATTAAAAGCTATTTCACCATAGGGGGACTTTAAACAAAGGAAACTACAGACGGCATGGATAGCACAAAACAAAAGGAAATAAAAAAAACATGTGTTATAGGTAGATGTTTAGTAATTTGGCCTCGAATTGATTTATTTAAAACAATTGCTGCATTTTCTACCAAAATGGTGCATATAGGCCCAACTGTAGTGGATGATGTTGAAGCCACGCCATCGGGCCATGTTTCTTTTCTTTTCTTCTTCCACTTTTTTTTTTTTTTTTTACGGTTTGATTGATTTTAATATGAGATGCACTTTGATTACAGATGGCAAACTAAATAAAAATGAAAATATAAAAAATATATAAAAGTAAATAACAAAAACATCACCTCATAATAATACAGCGCTATTATTATTGTTGTTATTATTATTAAAAACATGTGAATTTTAAAACACAAAACAAACATTTTTCCCCAAAAAATTATACATGTAATAATACAATAGATACAAATGTTTCACATAATGCTCTAAATGATTGCATAATAAGACATGAATAACATTAAAGGTACCATTCATATCAAAGATATTTAAAAAATCAATTCACACATTAAGGAAAAAGAAGAAAAAAGAAAAGAAGACATAACGGAAAGAGGTGTATAATCAAAATAAAGAAGAGGAATTTAATTCTTTGTAGATGTCCATAGTTCTGGTTGATTTGCGGTTTGAAAGTCCTTGCAATGTTTCAAAGTAAATCTTCATGTCAGCCTTCAAATGGTAGATGTTGGGTATCCTTTCAGACCATTTACATTTGTGCATAAAACTTACCAAATAGTATAATAAGATTTAACGTAAAACCGTGACTCTTGCCTATATCTTTTTTTGCCATAATAAAAAAATAACATCTCTTTTCTCCATGTGAATTTTAATTCCACTTAACATAATTCCACATCAATCCAAAAGAATTTAACATACATACATTCAAAGAAAAGATGCAAAATAGTTTCAGAAATTAACAAGGTCATTTATATATCTTTTTAGGAACTGGTTTGTTGGATACATTTTATGTATAATTTTATTTCATAAACGTTATCATTGATAGGCTACAGTAGGCCTATTTGTTATTATAAGTCCAAATCAATCTCCGATTAATATTTCCAAAATGGTCAATCCAAAAGTATTTATTTCGAGGTGTTGCAGGGCAATGAATCAGGCATCTGAAAAATGTATTATTACATTTACTATCTTTAATATCAACACCGTAACACAAAACCGCTCTGCACAAAACAAACAAAGGGTGTGTTGCAGGGAAATAGCGCCGTGTAGAAAACATGGCAGAAGTAAGCAGCACACATCATGGAAGCCTAACTTGACGAGTACAGTATGTCGAGACGAGCTTTCCTCAGACAACATCAGGCTCTGCAGTGTTTGGGAACAGGGCTCGGTTGTTCTGTACTGTTGAGATCTATCGCTACTCACAGGCTGCCTCCTCACGCAGATGAAGCGTCACTTTATGTCCATGTGAGTGTCTAAATATGACTGTCAAAGCCAGTCACTGACAAAATGTAAAGAAGTGAAATGTAGCCTAATATATCTGTCTGCATTTCTCCTTTTCTACAGTGGCCATATTGCCTGAAAAGATGCTCTTACTGCAACTTCAACAAGTATATTCCTCGGAGTCAAAACCATGCGGTCATGACAGAATGTCTGCAGAAAGAGACACAAACCTTACTGCAACTCAGCCAAGTGTCCCGGTCAGTACAGAGATACCTACCTCGAGAAAAAAGTACACATTAGCACACTTATAAAGGGACAACTTATTACGGAAAATAATACACTTTTTAAGGAATATACATGTTATTTTCAAGTAAATGAAAATGTATTCTAGTTTAAGTTTATATTAAAATGCAAGAAGCTGAACTTTAGAGTGCTTTTGTGACTCATTTAAAGGGACAGTTCATCCAAAAATAAAAATTCTGCCATCAAATTCTAAACCTATATGAGTTTCTTTCTTCTGTTGGACACAAAATAAGATATTTTGAAGAATGTGGGCCATGTTTATTTCTTCGCCGGAGCATTTAACAGCAATATTCAAGATAGAAATGTATTCTTAGTAAAGCTACTAAAGTTATTCAATAAGAGCAGTGAGTGATTTTCTGTTTTTATTTTGTTGTTTAATTCATATTAGCAGCATACCGTATATACAGCAGTAAGTAACGTATATTACGCTGCTTTCGTGTTAAAGGGATAGTTCACCCAAAAATAAAAATAAGCCCATCATGATTTACTCACCCTCTAATCATCCTAGGTGTACATGGCATTCTTCTTTCAGACGAATACAATCGGAGTTGTATTAAAAAATGTCCTGGCTCTTCCAAGCTTTGTAATGGAAGTGAATGGGTATATGTTTTTGGAAGTCCATCAAAGCGTATCCATCCATGATAAAAGTGCTCCAGTCCACATGGCTGTGGGGGGCTAATAAAGATCTTCTGAAGTGAAGCGATGCGTTCGTGTAAGAAAAAATATCCATATTTAAAACTTTATCAACTAAAATAACTAGCTTCCGGCAGACGGCACACTAACATGTGAAAGAGAACTTAGTTTAATACTCACTACTTACTTTAATGCTCTGTCTGACATCCAGCTCTCTGTGTGCGTTCTTCGGATGTGTGCGCTCAGAAAACCATATATCAGAAGTTTATGCAGGTTTAAAACGCATGCAGATATTAAACGTTCATGATGATGAAGAACTGCAATGTCACGTGAGAGTGACTGCGATAGAGATGATAATCAAAACCAAATATGTTTTAGTTTTTGGCAGGGTATCCCAGGCACAAGCTATAAAGGCTCCGTCCCCTTCTGGAAAGCTCATTTGCATTTAAAGAAACATGCACGAAAACAGCATGTTTTTCCTTCCTCAAATTTACAACATGGTACAATAAAATATATCTAGGGTATTTTTTAGCTGAAATTTCACAGATACATTCTGGGGACACCTGGGACATCTTGTAAAAAAGGGGCATAATAGGTCCCCTTTTTATTTTTGGGTGAACTATCCCTTTAATTTGTGCTGTACTGTTCCCAAGGATCAGCTCAGTGTTTTTTGGAGGAGGAACACCTAGTTTGGCTCAGCCCTCCACGATCGCCGCTGTCTTGGAGACTGTTTTCAAAAACGCCCATCTCTCAGATGATGCAGAGGTCACTCTGGAAGTGAATCCTACACCTGCTGGAAAAGCTAGTCTGAAGGACTTCATGTTAGCAGGAGTTAACCGGTTTTCTGTTGGAATTCAGGTACGCTGCTTGCACACAGGCCACAATCTGTCAGATGTTATGTAGCTTACTTAGAGTCTCCATAGATCTAATGCTGTTTTCCACAGTCACTGAATGATGATCACCTGAGGACACTAGGGAGGGATCACAACTCCCTGGATGCTCTCCGGACAGTGTCAGAGGCCAGGACGCTCTGCCCGGGACGTGTGTCTGTAGATGTCATGTTTGCTCTTCCGGGTCAAAGCGTAAAGTCATGGGAGAGTGAGCTGGAGAAATTGCTGCCGGTTTGTGACGATCATGTTTCACTGTATCAGCTGACTTTGGAAAGGGGTACCCAGCTTTTTAAACAGGTTGAAACCGGGGAACTAAACGTGCCTGGTGACGATGTCACTGCTGACATGTACGAATCAGCACGCAGAGTTTTAGAGAAGGCTGGGTTTTGCCAGTATGAGGTGTCCAACTTTGCCAAAAATGTAAGTTATAATTCCTATTAATGTTCTTAAACCTATACACTGTAAAAAGTATCAAAATAAGAAGTAGCACTAGCAACACCAAGGTCATGTGTTTGATTCTCAGGCATGCACTGTAATTTGCTTTAGATAAAAGTGCCTGCTCAATGAATAAATGCTATGTTATTTTAATTATTTGAAATGTTTAAGTGTACTCTTGGTTTATTGATTATGTACTCGTTGTAGAACGCTGTCAGCGAACACAATGTCGGGTACTGGAGGGGACATCAGTACATCGGTGTAGGCCCAGGTACATTCATGCACATTTTTGAAAGAATTTTTTGAAAGAAATTAATACTTTTATTTAGCAGGGATGCACAAAATTGATCAAAAGTGACAGTAAAGACATTTCTAATGAAAATAAAATATATATTTCTAATATCTAGTTTTGTCATGGAACTCTAAGGCCCCGTTTACCGCTGGTATTAAGATGCGTTTTGGTTGATCGGATCACAAGTAGACGAGGGAGACGTATTCCCGTTTACACCTGGTGTTTTAATCCGTCTCTTTTGTCCACTTTCAACCACTTCTGTCCTGATTTCTTCTAGGGGAGGGTCTATGGGCGGGTAAATCTATGGGCTTTTTCAGATCTTTCGAAATAATGGACAAAATAAGCTCGCGCAATTTACATCAAGGAAAACACCAATCATTTTGATATGATGATTTGATGCTCAGAAAACACTAATTATTATTATCAATGTTAAAAACAGTTTTTGCTACTTAACATTTTCGTGGAATCAATGATACCATTCAAACATTTGTGGTAAGATATGAAAAAAGAGAGAAATTAATACTTTTATTCACCAAGAATGCATTAGATTGATCAAAAGTGACAGTGACTACGTTTAGATTTCTATTTAATATATGCTTTAATAAATGTAATAAATAAATTTAAGAAATGCAAATAAATGCGGTTTCTGTTTATGAAATAATCCTGAAAAAAGTATCACCATTTCCACATAAATGTTAAGCAGCACACTTGTTTTCAACATTGATAGCAATAATAAATGTTTCTTGAGCATCAAATCATCATATTATAATGATTTCTGAAGGATCATGTGACACTGAAGACTGGAGTAATGATGCTGAAAATTCAGCTTTGATCACAGGAATAAATTACATTTAAAAAAATAGTTACTTTAAATTGTAATTGTTTCAGATTTACTGAATCTGTTCAGATTTTACAGATTTTTTTTACTGTATTTTACAAATAAATGCAACCTTAGTGAGCAGAAGACTCAATATATATATTACCAACCTCAAACTTTTGAACGTTAGTGTATAAACTATGATAGACTGATCTTACAAAGACTTCTCCTGATCTGTCAGGGGCTCATGGGCGCTTTGTGCCGCGTGCAGTGGGAGGAGCTCAGAGGGAAGCACGAACCCAGACTTTAGAGCCAGATGTTTGGATACGAGAGGTTCAGCGCCACGGTCACGGGACGCGCCGTCGGATACAGCTTGACCACCGTGGCCTGTAAGTGTATCTGACATGTAGTCCACACACAACTAGCTGTGTAAGCAATCGCACAATCTGTAGCTGAGTTATTGAATCAGATCATAATTGTATCTGCAGGCTGGAGGAGGTTTTGGTCATGGGTCTGCGTATGAATGAAGGAATCACCCTGCAGGTAAAATGGGCCGCTTCTTAACACAACAGAGTTCAGCTCACATTTCGAACCAATTATGTTTTGCTTTTTAAAAAAAGACATTATTTATACAACATGTTAATATGTAACGGTAGGTCGAAATGCTAATGCTTTTTTATATGAACTGACCAATGCATTTGATCTTTTTTTCTTATGAAATGGTGTAGCACTGGGAGTTATTCAGCCCAGAAGCTGACCTCCAACACATTTTTGGGATGTCAGAAAACGTCCAGGAATTGCAAGCAGGCGGGCTTCTAATGCTTAATGACAGGTAACGGCTTCAAAACTGTTTTACTTTTAAAGTAACCCAAGTGTGATAGTACATTTTCACTTACACATCAATTCCCCCCTGATGCTCACCTGGATGTTTTAGGGGTTTGCGGTGTTCCTGGGAAGGATTAGCGTTACTGGACAGCATCTTACCCACAATGCTGCTAGAATTAGAGACGTTTTTCCAAAGCAGGGTTTCTGTACATCAGCAGGAACACAGACTTTTACAGACCGTTGACCGATGACCGTTTACATCGGAGAAACATGAGACAGAGATAATGGGTAATAAGGTAAGCATGAAGCAAATGCATCCATGATTGAAGAAGTTTACTCTTGAAGAAGGAACGTGTGTCAATGACGTGAGGTGTTTTTCCCCCCTATTTATTAATTTATTCACAAATACAGAACATTAAAAAAGCATTGCATACATGACTTGAATGCACCTCTTCAATGTGAACATGCTTTTAATTTCTGAATTAAAATTCAGTGTAATTTGTTAAGGGGGTTCGGGGTGCATAAAGTAAAAAGTCAGGTTGATATGATCTTTATATATATAAGAGGATTTCAATTCTATATTTTCTAAATACATGTCTCATTGTAAACAATTCATCCTTGCTTATGTTTAATTTTTTTTGACCTTGTGATGTTTAATCAAGATGTCATAACTGTATCTTCCATTGAAAATGACAGACTTCTCTATGGTGACATATGCAGGACTTCTCCAATCATTTAGTCTGCTTAAACCCCGCCCACATCTCAAAATCCAATCAACCACCAATGCATTAAACCAAGTTCCCATCCTGCTTTTTGTTTCTTTGCCGATGTACGTTAGCCTGGTTAAAACCAGACCATTCTCAGTTGTAACTGAGTTATGGTCTGGCAAAGCGTCATAGACAAATCATTTCCAGAGGGGCGTCACCAACGGACGTCGCGGATAGACCTAAAACCAATCAGAGCGATGAAGGAGATGACGAATGCAGAGCGGCGGAGAAACATCTCCGAGTGTTGTTCTTTGCTCGGTTTTTAACAAAAAGGAAACGTTCAAATCGCTTAAAACAGACGCGATAGCTGATTCGAACGAGTGATGTTCGACGGCGGCATCCATCTCTGTAATGTAGGCTACAAAATCTGCTTCAAAATCCCAGCGCTGTCGTCATCGTGTAAAGCCCGCCCCAACGTTTCTGATTGGTGCCGCGATTTCGGGGGATTGGAAATGAGCTTGAATGAGCTCTTTGCCAGACTAACTTTCAGAGCAAATCTAAATTTGCCGGAAGTTGTCTGGGTTTTCCCAGGCTAGATGTACGTCACAATACGGAAGAAAATATCTGTTTCTGCATCTGTTTCATCACCAATTTAAAGAAAAACAAAATCAAGTTTTTAATGTTGCCTGTGTGTCTATGTTTTTTTTTATATATATAGTATATGCTTTAAGACAAACCTTGTGTAAATTCATCAGTCAACACCATTGCTGAGTATTTTCTCCTTACAACTGCAGTGAACCAAAGACACAGTTTGAAACCACCCCTAATTTCAACTCAACTTGTAACCAATCCCGTCAACGTGCGGGCGGGGCTTTTCCTATCATTATTTTGAAGGATGCTGATTTTTAGAAGGCAGCTGTCTGACTCTGAGATGGAGAATGTGAATATGGTTTGTGTAAAATTAGCAACATATTATTCAATTGCCATTATGTGTCCGACGTTGTAGAGAGAGCGATACATAAAACGCTTTACCTTTTTGATACATCGACTTGTAGACGAGCCTGTATAATTCACTCTTCCACTTCTTCTGAATCAGTTTCTGGTTCAAACATATATGTCTGAATTAAACTAGTAATTCAACTTGCCATTGTGCAGTGTTTACTATTGTAAAGTTGAGCGAGTGGATCTCTGAGCTGGTGTGAGTGAGTGGAGGCGGGGCTAACTTGCATATTCTTAGAGCTGCTTATACTAAATGAAACAAGGGTGTAGTAGAGTTACATTTAAATACGCAATTTTGATTATCAAATATGACTAAGGGATAAAATTATTCACTGCAGGGGACTTTAAGTAAATTACGATTTACTTTAAAAATAATTATTAAGATGTGTACATGTGTATTCAAGGTTTAAAGAAAATGTTAATTTTACATGACGGTTAAGGTCCGTTCACACCAAGAACAATAACTATAACTGTATTTGCCTCCACACTAGTGGACGATATCATTCTGTTTATTGTAAGTGTGTGCTGCAGTTTTGTTTTCTGTCGCTTTAAAAGGATGGATTCTGATTGGCTGTCAGTGTTTTTATCGTTCATCAGCATGGAAAAAAATCGTTCTGAAAGTGATTCCAACTATATTATACAGTCTCTGTTTGTATATCCACATGTTAATGCCCGACAATCTTTGATAGGCGTACTGAAGCTTAAAGGGATAGTTCACTTTGAAATTAATTTTTGATATGTTTTAGCTTACCTCAAGGGCATCCAAGATGTAGGTGTCTTTGTTTCCGCAGTAGTTTCAATTTTGATATATTTAGGTCAAACCGTTCTTGTCTGCCAGTCATATAATGCAGGTCTATGGTCACCACCTCAAAGAGCATGCAGAGAAGTCCAAATTAAACATGATTTAATGTCTCGTAAATGTAAGTACACATTGATGGCCTAAGACACGAAACAAGCGGTTTGTGTGAGAAAACGAACAGTATTTATATCGTTGTTACCTCTTGTAACCACAGCCACGTCCAAGTGATCTGAGGGCGCGGGCGCTTCGGTCTGCGCAAGCGCCGTAAAGCACCGGAAGTGATCTCTCGCGTGTGTACGAAAAAAAAATTCAACGTTGTCTGTTGATATATCGAAATCGTCTTCCATTGCGATTTCCTGTATATCTTAATATGTTTAGATCTTCACAGTGAAAGGTAACGCTTCCGAAATCTCTGTATAAACGATGAGTGTCGTACACACGCGAGAGATCACTTCCGGCGCTTGCGCAGACCGAAGCGCCCGCGCCCTCAGATCACTTGGACGTGGCTGTGTTTACAAGAGGTAAAAACGATATAAATACGGTTCGTTTTCTCACACAAACCGCTCGTTTCGTGTCTTAGGCCATCAATGTGTACTTACATTTACGAGTCATTAAATCATGTTTAATTTGGACTTCTCTGTGCATGCTCTTTGAGGTGGTGACCATAGACCTGCATTATATGACTGACAGACAAGAACGGTTTGACCTAAAAATATCAAAATTGAAACTACTGTGGAAACAAAGACACCTACATCTTGGATGCCCTTGAGGTAAGCTAAAACATATAAAAAATTAATTTCAAAGTGAACTATCCCTTTAACAGAACGGGTATTTTTTGTTTGTAGGCTTTTTCTTCTTTTGGGATGCACTGATATTATGTGATTTTTTTCTTTTTCTTCTGTTAATGTTGTATTATTATGGTGTCTGATTAACTGTTGGTATTTACAGTTTTTCTCGATTGCTTAAACACATTTCTTGAAACTATGCCTCGTATTCTCAAAACAGTAAACACAAATCCATAACGTCTCACCCAATTCCCCAAACATCCTATTTTCAGGTCAAAATGAAGCTCTACACTCAAAACCATTCACTCTTGCTGAAAAACCAAACTTTGCCCTCAGACAGGACACACAAGCCCTCAAAAACACACACACTACAACATAGTCTGACACACTGGTGCTATAAATTCAAAACAACATTTCCAAAACTGGTAAGTCATGTTGCTTGTGGTCCCCCGCCCTCCCTCCCCCCATCTTTTTTTTTTACTCTCTCCTACTCTTACGTAAGATGTGTGTGAGCATCATATGACAGTAAAAGAGCACACACAAACCTTATTCAAACATGGAATTGTATTGGAATGGGAAAGAGTGTTGGTACATGCCTCCACTCAAGGATACAATTTGATGAACAAGTCTAAGAATGTTCCACATATGGTTGAAATACCATTATTGGCCTAGAAAGATAACATTCTGGGAGTCAAGACTATAAAGGAGAAAGGATGCCCTCCCTTCACTGTCACACTCTGCAGCCACTCTGTGTGACTGTACGACTGCTGTGCTGGCCTTTTCTTGCAAGAACATAAACCTCATCAAAGACAATTGGAAATGTTTGTCTCTTATTCAGTGATAGAAATGTGTTTGCCACCACACCTCCCTGAAGGTTCTGATGATGGAGGCGACGGTGAAGCCACTCAAATTTGGCTGTACTCGTTGCCCAGCCTCCCTTAGTCATACCATGGACAAGAACATGGCCAACTAAAGTGGCTTTCATCCGAGACTGCTTGTCTTCTTGCCCTTGCCCTTCCTCCTCCTCCTCCTCCTTCTCCTCCTCCTCTTCCTCCTCCTCTTATTCCTCTTCCTCCTCATCCTCTTCCACCTCCTCCTCTTCCTCCTCCTCCTTTTCCTCATCCTCCTCCTCTTCCTCTCCCTCATCGACATATTGGTTAATTTCTCTGTGGATCCATTGTTCCAAAACTCAGTAAACGGATTTTTATCTTTTATAAAAGATTGTATAAGCGTTTATCTATCTATTGAAGGATCTGACTGATGTGTGTTCAATTTTGACTCTTAGTGTTTTCACCTGGGTAATTGTGTGCTAACTGAGCTGAAGCTGAGCTGACTTGAGTGAACAATTTTGAATGCTAGTGCTTTCTAAATGACCACGTGGTGTAGGCAATGAGAAATGAAGGGATTTGTGTGTAGAGTTTTGCTGTGACAGTTCAACAAATCTGACTAATGTGTCAAAACAGGGGAATAGTGTTCATAGTTCAGTGAAATGGGTGTGCTTTTTGATAAATGGCATTATGGTTTTGAAATTTTAGTTCAAAAGCCTGGTTATAGTGTTTAAGCAATCGAGAAAAACTGTAACAGTTAAACTGTCAAGGATATCTTTTTCTAAAAGCTTTAGTGACTCTTAGAGACTTCATGATTCTAAAAATAGGAAACAGCAGAATGGGCATACAAAAACCCATAATCTTACTCTACAGTAGGCTTTTTGCTAACTGTGCTCGCAACCTCACACACACACACACACACACACACAGACGGTAATAACAAATACATCATTAAACCATGAATTGCGTCTATAGGAGAGCAATAAACCAGGCGACTAGGGAAAAGCGTCAGGAAATAAAACGCCAATAGACCTTTACGGCCCACAGAACATGAACACATAATAGAGAGAGAATGACACGACCACACTTAAACATGCTTTTTATAAAGCCTCTAGAACCCAACGCGCCTCAGTAATTGCGCCCCACAGGTGTGCTCAATGTCAAGACGCAGCGCTGCGCCAGTGGGCGAGAGGTAGTACACAAGCATTTAGATAAACAAATTAATTCTAATGAACCAGAGAAAAAAATAAAAACAGTCTACCTGTCACACATGCATGCGGTTGTCTGCTATTTTTATACTTAAACTATAATTCAGGAATCTGTGAAACGATTAACACAATGATCTTGGTTGCTTGTCTGATCTATGAAATATGAAGTGATTTAATCCTGGGGGCTTTATCATCTTTAGTGGTATTTGATTCGACATGCATAGAAATGATTTAATATTGCATCTGCCATTTAAAGTTACTCCTCTTCAAACCACCCACATGCTCAGTCAGAGAAGGTCACTGAAGAATCATGAATTATTCTTGTTGCTCCCTTTAGGCTATTTCATGTAGGCCTACACATTTAAAATATATTGCATCAATTTAGTTGAGACATTATCTTATCAAAAGGCTGTTGTTACGCTCCCTATAAATGTCTAGGATTCAAGTGACACAAAACATAAGAGATGGACAACGATAAAGTATTTATTAACACACAAACAATGACAGAAACCCCTTCAAACTAACAGTCCGCTGTCCGTGGTGCTGATCGAGCGCCTTCTGAATATATAAATCATTATGCAAATATGGATGCGCTAAAACGTCAATGCTTCTTTGTCTTTATTGATCGAGTTTTGTCATTTCTTTGCAGGCATATTAATCACTGCATTGCATTCATGAATATTCAAAGGATTCAATTTCTTTCTGCATCGTGTTGTGTAACGTCTATTATGCAAAGCGTGATTGTATTGTCAGGGATTCACACATTCTTACTAATGCGAGAGAATTTTACGCCAGCACAACGATGATGACTCAAGCCATTGCAGACGATGAGAAGTAAGGCTTCAACGCCCACAACTTTCTTCGTTCATCCATAAATGGACATATTGTGTGAGGTTTGTTCTAAAAGTAGACGCTGCTGCAAAAGTGAGGTGAGGTGGGGTACACGTTATAAATATGTACAGTATTATGACTCATGAATATTACTGAAGTGGTGTTAGGTTCTCTCGTTTGTCATACCCGGTTTGCTGAAAATAAACTTTTTAGCGGATACATTATTTGCATTGACCCTGAACAAACTCACGCAAAATGAGGGAAAACACGACGCATTATTTCTTAAGGACAATTTTATTGTTGTCTGTTATACATGACAAAGTGGAAACAAATTTGAGGTAATGAAGGTTTATTCATTTTCAAGAAAAAAAAAAGACAACAGCGCGTGACTGCGTCTTTTATTGTTGTCTAAGTAGAAACGTGCAAACAAATGTGAGGTATAATACAGTCAATAGAAAGAAAACATGCATAATTCCTTTATACAACATTTCCCAGTTGGGAATACATGCGTCAGTATCTGCGATTTGAAACTGGTCCAAACTTGTCATGAACTGCACTGAAAAATTGGTAACAAATGGTTTTATTCATATAATATAAGTCATTCATATAAGTCAAAATATCATTTAACAGCACTGAATCAACGTAAAGCCTAACTCATGCGGCAAAACTTAAATTGGCTATAACTAGTTATTTAAGGTCATTGGTTACCACACTTTACTGCGTGGTTGTATATATTAACTCTTAAAAAGTTTACAAGAGCATTTTTGCAACAATGCCATAGAATAACCATTTTTTGGTTCCCCTAAGAACAGTAAAGAACATAGAACCACAGATTCCAATAAAGTACCTTAATTTTTAACATTTATCTGCTTTGTTGCTGGTCTTCCAAATGGTCTACCAGTTTACACCAGCTAATGACCAGTTTAGACCAATAATAAAGCCTGCTTTTCCTGCAGGGTTTTAAAGACATCGCACAAATACTTTGAAATATGTCCTCTGGTCCAGCCAGGGACTTATAGAATATAATAATTCTTACGTAGCTGAATAATTATTATTCATAGGTTTGAAACAGAGTCCCTATAGCGTTACTCTTTTACTGTATTTGGCACCTCTCAATAGGTGTACATCTTTTAGGGGTGCTCGGCCCCATCACGCGCCGCAGATCGCTACTGAAACTCGGTCTACGCGCGAGCGGTTGCACCGCCCCACACGGCTCATTCACGGCTCTTTTGTTTCTCTTTCTGCTGCTCAGCGCTTGATACGTGTGAATGGAGATGTCTCGATGGAGAGAGGGTCTGGTTTCTGTGGGGAGCCCTCCCAGCACCGCCAGGGCTTCGAACATCTCCTCGAGGTTGGTGGAGTCTTTAGCAGACACCTCAAAAGAGACACTGTCCTCCCCGAGAAACCGGCAGATATCTGAGTGTCGCACAGCTCTCGAGGAGTTTAAGTCAGTTTTATTGCCACAGATTATAAGTGGAAGCTGTCTGTTTTCTTTGGACTTGGTCAGCTTGGATTTGGCCGTGACAATCTCCTCGCGTAAAGAGCAGACCTCAGTGAAAGACTCTCGGTCAGTCACGCTGAACACCAGCAGGAATATGTCACCTGTTGAGGACATAACAAGACATTAGAACTTAGTAAATCATAGATATTGTTAATCGAATTAAAAAAAACGGTAGGCTATGTATACTGACCGGTCAGAATAGTCAGTCTTCGCTTGGCAGGGAAGTCTCTCTCTTTGGACGCGTCCAGGATATCTAGCTGGTATCTCTCTCCTCGGATGTGGAACAGTTTGCTGTGAAAGTCTTCAGTCGTAGGCTTATAATGTTCCTCGAATCCATCATCGCCGAGGAAACGGCGTATAAGCGCCGTTTTTCCCACTCGGGGCGCGCCGAGCACAACGATGCGCCTGTAATGACTGGGTTTCACGCTGACCAGATCGTCGTTTTTACTCTCATATCTCATATGCTTTGTTTTATGGAGCTGAGAAGCGGAGAAGGGGTCCAGATATCTCCGTGGTTTGCGTTCAGAGGACGAGGTTCGCTTTCCAGTGCTGGAGGAGCGCACCACCCCAGGATGTCTCCAGTGCGATGCGCACTGCAAATGCTTTTCAACTGTTGCGGTGGCTTCGGAATGATAGCTGCAACTGGAGAGCGTCGCGGTGCCATCAACTGAAAGAAGGGCTTTATCAGTTGTGTTCACCTCCATGCTCCTTGCTGGTATCATCCAGAACGGCTGGTTCTGTGCTCTCGGTGCAGTGAGTTGTACAGTACGCGCTTCCCGCAGTGCATTTTATATGCTGAGGGTGGGATGGGTGGTGTCGTGTGGTGCGTCATTCAACGCTTATAGATTTGGTTTCTTCTGGTGAATCTGAACAATGCTGCTGCCTATTTAAGGTATTGCCCAACACAGTTACTTGGATCTGAGCCATTCTTATGCAGAGCTGCAGGTTTCCAGTATTGTCAGTTATACACTGAAGAAGTCAAAAGTTTTCCAGCTTAAGTTGGATTGAAAAATGCCTGAAAAGCTTAAGGACTGCCATAAATACGCATTTGTAAAAAGTTAGCAACATGATTGTTAGATATTGTCTTTGTAAAAAATGTGGGTAGATTTTTGTTTGCATTTATTTGATCAAAAAGAAAGTAAAAAATATATATTAATAACTGTTTTAAAATAAATGTAATTTAGTCCTGTGATCAAAGCTGAATTTTTAGCATCATTACTCCAGTCTTCAGTGTCACATGATCCTTCAGAAATCATTCTAATATGATGATTTGATGCTCAAGAAACATTATTATTATTAATAATAATTTTATTATTATTATCAATGCCGAAAAGCAGATGCTTTACATTTTTGTATAACTGAAAACATGTTTTTCAGGACTATCTGATGAAGAGAAAGTTCTGCAATTATTTGGAATAGAAATCTTTTGTAACATAAACAGTGTTGGGGTAACCCATTGTAACATGTAATCTGATTACTTTTTTCAAGTAGCCTAAGTAGCATATTACTTTTAAATTTACAACAAAATATCTGAGTTACTTCTTCAAATAAGGAAATGCAAGAAATACAATTTATTTCTTTGTTATTAAAAAACAAACATGCCCGCCCAGCCCAGGTGAGGAAAAAGTAATGTAACACATTACTTTCAATAAAAAGTAACTAACGCAAGTAGTTTCTTTTTTAGGGAGTAACGCAATATTGTAATACATTAAAAAAACGTAACTTTCCCCAACACTGATTATAAATATCTTTATTGTCACATTTGTTCAATTTAATATGTCCTTTCTCCCTGAATAAAAGCAGCTCCCAAACTTTTGACTGGTAGTTTATATTTCATTGAAAAAATGGCCAGTTAGTTCCTCTCTGGTAATGAAAGAAGTATCGATAGTTCCAGAGAAACCAAGCTTTGCATGTCAGAGAGAAACACAGTCTAGACAGTTAAAAGTCCCAGTACTGTTGTGCTAAATATCATCACTCTTATAACACTGCTCAACCAATCAAACACACAGACTTGAACCAAATGTTGTATAATGCTGTCTTCAGTTTGATGTGATGTATATCCGCGTGAGTAGCATGTGGGTGGAAACATTTTAGTTTATTTCCCTCAGTCGTCTGGATAATTGTGGGGTTGCTAATGACTGACTTTCCAGAAAAAAACCCTACGAATTGCATAATTATTGAACACAAGCTTTATTGTTTCAATTGCCGGATGATTTTCAGATGAAAAGCTTGTGTTATTTGTGTGTGGGCGCACGGAAACATTTGGTCAAAGAGGTGCAGGTTTATCCGCGTCTGTTTTTTAGATGAGACGGTACCTCGGGAATTGCATCTATATGAATGATTTCACATTCCATTAATCCTTGTCTGCGTAATGATGTTGATGGCTCTCTTTTGATAGAAATAGAATAACAGTTGACATTAATAGTGCGACGAAACTAATCGAAGCATCACGACAATGATAACAATAATCTATATGATCACGACCACAATTCTCTCTTGCAGCTGCAAACTTCTGAAGAGTACTTATACTGGAAAATCATATACTTTAAAGGAATATACTTCAGTGTGAACTGAATGTAATGTTTTCGGACTTAATTGCATGTTATTTACAGTTAAATGAATATTTATATTAAAGGCAATTAGTTGAACTTTAGAGTGCTTTTTTGACCCACTTAAGTAATTTATGTAATTTCATAATTCATAACTGTCTTTGCAATATGTGGTTAAAGTGCACAGCTGAATGTGCGGACACACATTTATGGTAAAAATAAAATATGCTTTAATGTAATTTCTACTGAAACTTGTATGTCATATATTTAAATAGGCCTATATTTGTACTTACGCATTTGTAATGATTAAGCATTTTAAATATATCAACTTTAAATTTAATATCAAATAACACACATACAGTTATTTAATAAAGTACTTTGCATGCGCTTTAGTTTGTTAGCCACATCCAAAATGTACATCAAAATAAGTGCACTTTAAAGTAAATCTTTTAGGTTGAGATCAAAAGTGCTCTTTTTAAAAGCGTACTTAAGTGTGTTAAGAAACATAGTCATGAAAGTGGCCTTTCCTTTCATCAATACTAATTTATCTGCAACTGCAAGTGCACATTCAATACAATTAAGTGCACTTCTTTAACACAAGCATAGTCAGTTATCTTCACAAAAATAGAGTAATAATGCAAAACATTGGCACAAAAAAGCACTATTTTGAGGAGGATTATCGCAATGTTCAAGAAATATCAAGAACATTCTGGCTATATGAGAGCATGTCTGCACATCTTTGTATTGGGCAAGGCATCATTACTTAACAGAGGACAAATCGCCACCTTATTCAGCGTGAACACACATGAACATATCTGAGTCTCTGCTCAACCTCATTCCATCAAGGCCAGACTGAATGGACTGAATTGGTGAATGTGCTTTGCCTTTCTTTTACAGTGCTTACCTTGGAGTGCTTGAGACTAAATGTTCTCTTCTGAGAATGAAATATACATCACCATGGCAACTGTGCACTTTATAACACTGGTTTCCAGAGTCTATTTAACTCTAAAAAGCTGAGGCTATCTCTATTGTGAGCCAAAACAATATTACTCCCTCCTATATAAGGCCTTTTATTGAAATTGTATGTCCTATGCTTTACATTGTTGTGAGATGTTCTTAGAACTTACAAAAGCTGAAGGCAGAGTATGTCACGAATGTTTTTTGTTTTGTTGAATTCACCTATATAAAGGAAAGCAGTAAATGTATTCACAGCCTAAAATGTTCCATCATTGTAACAATTACCTATTTAAATTAAGTCTTAAAATAACTTAAATTGTGTCAGCTTGAAAAAAGTTAGATGCAAAATGTGACGGTAACAATCAACTAACATCTTTTTGTTCACAAAATTTATATAATGAGTCAATACCTCATCAATCTTCTGTTACCCTGATTCACTATGTTATGCGTTTATATTTTAGACATGTCGGGATGGTTTTCGAATGAAAATTGCCCATGTCACTCGTTTGTCGTCATATCTGTAAATAAAGAAAAGTTGCTCCAGCTACTTAGATGCTTGTATAGTGTGGAGAACGTGAGAAAAGAGAATGCGACAGAGCTCGTAATAAAACAAGAGTTCATAAAGCACTATATTGTGAAGGGTTATTTCATTATGGTTGTTGTAGCGCTGTGCTGGAGTTTGTTTTCAACTCAAGTACCGTCTATTAATGGTTAAAGCTACAGTAACGTCTTCAGCTAGTCAGCTTGAGATCCTTTCCTTCTAAACTGGTTATATCTCTTAAACCTATGAATGTTTTATGAGCAGTAGGATAACCATATTCATCCGCACAATCACTCAGAGCCGAAGCAATACGGTGGTCGAGAGAGCTCAACGCGCTGCAACTGAAGAAAACACATGGAAATAGAAAAAAACACATGCAAATAAAATAAAACGCATGCAAATAGAAAAAAACACATGCAAATAAAAAAAAACGCATGCAAATAGAAAACAACGCGTGCAAATAAAAAAAAACACCCGCAAATTAAGAAAACATCTTCATCAGTTTCACAACACACCTGTGCTCCAAATACTCACAACACCACCAAATACAAACGCGCTGCAAAAGCTCACAACACAAATACAGAAAGCGCACTGCAAATAACACAGAGCACAACGGAAATGTTTCCAGGGGAACCAAATAAGTGACGAACCCGGCTGGGACGTGCTGGCATAGATATCCATAAATCCATAGACAGTATTTATTATGTCTATGCATATGCGTGCCGGTGCCTACAGCTTAAAATTATACTTTATTTATTTATTTGTGCAAAACATACAGAGATTATTTTTTTTATGACATACAACTTGTATACAATGTACAAAATGTATTAACAATGTGTTCAATGTCATCAGAATACAAATGAGAAAAGAACAATGAGCAGGAAACTAAAATAAATAAAGAAAAAAGATAAAGAAAAAAATCATGAAGGAACGACTCGGTTACTAACGTAACCTCGGTTCCCTGAGAGGAGGGAACGAGTATTGCGTAAGCTTACGCTATGGGAAAACTCCTTTTCTCGAGAAATATTGAAGTCTTTATGTAAAACGCATTGCAGCTGCACAGCATACAGCAATGAGCGAGGCAGCTCGGTCATTGGCTGTGCTGCGGCAACTGCACGAACCAATGACGGGGCGACTCTGAACCCGCTTCCAATGAGCGTGCTTCGCGCCCACGCGCGTCAGAGCCCGCCAAGATGGGCGCGGCCAAGGGCTATATATTGGGCGCCCCGTCGTCTGAGTTCTTTAGGTTCAATCGACTGAAGCAAACTGACCAAGCACAAGCACGGCAGATTACGCAATACTCGTTCCCTCCTCTCAGGGAACCGAGGTTACGTTAGTAACCGAGTCGTTCCCTTTCGAGAGGTTCCTCTTATTGCGTAAGCTTACGCTATGGGAACGCCATGTAAAACGCCGTGCGTGCTGACTTCACTCTATTAAGCCGGAGGCAGGTGCCTGAGCCTTTGAATTAAGTAATTATCCAACGAGCCAGCCGAAGGCGGGCTTTATAAAAGGACAACGTGGAACGGCCCGATGGGCGTCCAGAGACACACACAAGTACATTTTTATGTACTGTCATGTATAAAAAACCCTCCACATCAGTTTCAAAGATGTGATTCTATGAGGGAGGAGACAATGCTTAGCATGTACACACCCCAGCCTATGCATAGTTAGACCGACAGTATGTTAGAGTGCAATGAGGGGACCTGTAGGTTATAAAACCTGATAAATGTGGACGGTGAGGCCCAGCCTGCAGCCGCACAAATATCTTGAATGGGTATCCCACTCGACCACGCCCACGAGGAGGCCATGCCTCTCGTAGAGTGAGCTCTGATGCCTAAGGGGCACTGAAGGCCCTTGGCTTCATAAGCCAGCGCTATAGCATCAACTATCCAGCGCGATATTCTTTGCTTTGA